CACATTGGGCATGGAGCCTACTTAAAAAAAAAAAAAGCTTCCAAGCAATTCCCCAAAAGTGGTTGCATCACTTTACACTCCCATCAGCGGTGTACTGATAGTTTCAGGTGATTCAGTTCAGTCCTCTACTTCACCAACACTTAACATGGTCATTTTTTTTCCCCACAGGAAGGAATTTAATACAGAGAATTCGTTTGTTTCAAAATTGGGGGGGGGGGGTGCTGCAGGCAGCAAGAGGCTGCCAAGGGAGTAAGAGCACATCATCATAACCACAGTCAGAAGTGAGGAGGCCCCTGCTGCCATCCCCAGCTCCACCCGGCTCTGTCTCAATGTCTAGTCAATGCAGGAATGCCAAGTTTGGCTGCTGAGACTGGCTCTAGACCCTCACATATTTGTGTCCTTGCTCTCAGCAGAAGTGGCAGCAGGAAGATGGCCTCCACCCCCCCAAATCTCTGATGGGGCATCTAATTGTCAGATCTCACTTTAAATATATATTTGTAGTTCTGTGCACATTTATATATTTATATATTTAAAGATTGATTTATTTGAGAGAGAGCATGTGAGGAGGAGGAGGGGCAGAGAGAGAGAATCCCAAGCAGATTCCCTGCTGAGCACAAAGCCCAACGGGGGACTTGGTCCCATGACCCATGGGATCATGACCTAAGCCCAAATCACGGGTTTGATGCGGACCAAACTGAGCCACCCAGGCACCCCTCATTTTGTATTCTTAATTCTAGCTGCAAAGGTGTCTAATAAGTGTATTTTTCCACTTTCCAGCCTCTGCAGAATATAGGAGAGCACCCTGTAAGGAGGTAGGGGGGAGCTGGTTTTTATCAATTGGCTTTTGCTGAGTAAAAAAGCTATCCCAAAATGTAACTGACTAAAATAGCAACCATTGGGCGCCTGGGTGGCTCAGTCCATTAAGTGTCTGCCTTCGGCTCAGGTCATGATCCCAGGGTCCTGGGATCGAGTCCCGCATCGGGCTCCCTGCTCAGCGGGGAGCCTGCTTCTCCCTCTACCATTCCCCCCTGCTTGTGCTCTCTCTCTCTCAAATAAATAAAATCTTTAATAAATAAATAAATAAAATAGCAACCATTTATTTAGCTCACAATTCTGCAGATTGGTGATTTGGTACTGGGCTTAGCTAGGCAGTTCTCATCTTAGTTGTTGGGCTCATTCATGCTGGTTACCAAATCTGTTGGGAACTGACTGGCCGAAGATGGGCTCAGCTGGGATGGATCACCGCTGTTCATGTGATCTCTCACTCTCCAGCAAGCCAACCTAGGCTTGTTTTCATGATGGCTGGGCAGCTTTCCAAGAGAGAGCTCCAAATGCTCTTTAGGCCTCAGCTCCAATATAGCACATCATTTCTGCCACATTCTGCTGGCTGAAGCTAGACACTAAGGCTGGCCCAGATTCAGGGGCAGTGGGAATAGATTTCCACCTCTTCCAGAACGTGATGTAAAGCCACAGTGCAAGGGTGTGAATAAAGGGTGGAATGAGAAGTCAGGGCAATCAACTGCACTAGTCCACGACACCCACCATACCCCCCACTCCTGGAACCAGCCAGCAAATCCCAAGTACCCTCTTTCTTTTCAACAAGCAACAAGATTCCCTGACTCTTACCTTTTCTGTTCCTTTATTTTGTCCTGTTTCCCAGGTTCCTTTATTTTCCAGATCTTCAAATTAATGTTTAATGTAAGCAGTATCTTTACTTTCTGAGAACTCATTCTCTGTTGTTCCATAAGGCAAACCTTATGGATGTGAGATCTTCTTGAATCTAATTACTGAGAATAGTAATTAGAGAGGCTTAAAAAAAATTTTTTTTTTCTACTGTTCCCTGCATGGTTTTCCTCTAAAGCCATTTTTTTGCTGTTTGCTTAGTTTCTTTTTTGCGTTGGCAGTCTTTCCTCTAATGTCTGGTGAACATTGTTTGCATTAAGAATAAGGCAATAAGGGGCACCTGGGTGGTTCAGTCATTAAGTGTCTGTCTTCGGCTCAGGTCATGGTCCCAGGGTCCTGGGATCGAGTCCCGAGTCAGGAACCCTGTTCAGCAAGAAGGCTGCTTCTCCCTCTCCCACTCCCCCTGCTTGTGTTCCCTCTCTTGCTATCTCTGTCAAATAAATAAAATCTTAAAAAAAAAAAAAAAAAAAGAATGAGGCAATGAAAAGCACCGGGAAGTTCTGTGCACATCCCCTGGTTGGCTTCCTTCTGGGGCAGCCAGATGGGGACTGGCCTGTACAAGAGGCCCTGTAGGCCAGAACACAAGGGTCTCATCTCATGTATAAGGCTATTCTGTTTCTTTAGAGCATGGGTTCAGGCCAATGACTCCTTGGATTGTCTGGTAAAGTCTGGAGGCCAGAGGAGTGTTTTTAACGGAATTTAAAAATACATAGGATTACCCAAAAATCCCAATTATACTGAAATACAGTCATTGAACTATCACACATTTCCTCTTTCTCAGTGGGCACCCAGGGCTCTTTCTGTTGGTGGGATTCTGTATCTCCTGACAGCTACACATATTTAAAGTGTACAATCTGATGAGATTTGACATACGTGTACACCTGCCAAACCATCATCACAATCAAGATAATGAACATACCCATCATCCCCCAGTTCCAAAACTGCCTTTTGTAATTTCCTTCCTTTTTAAACGTTGGCCACAAGCGACAATGGTACCAGCAGAATCTGAGACGTGGTCACTAAAAGAAATGATGGATGTTTTCGTATCACGAGGAGATACCTCAGATTATCATTTATGCATAATGCCACTTAAATATCTTATTTACTGAAACAAACATTTGTCAAGGGGTTTTAATGTCCTTTTACTTTTGATCAAGTATCCACCCCAAGCAATCCCCAGAGAGTAAATGCTGGGCTGCTAACTCTAGCTGAAGGCAGAATCTTTGCCGGGCCAAAGATTTCTGGGCCCTCAAGCTGCTGTGGCCTGAATCATTGGGGTGGACATAGAAGGTGTTACTCTGACCACTGCCAGGCTTCATAAACCCAGGCGATTCTTTCAGGCAGAGGAGGAGTTCTGGCCACTTTTTTTTTTTTTTTTTTTAGATTTTATTTATTTTTTTGACAGAGAGAGATATAGCGAGAGCAGGAACACAAGCAGGGGGAGCGGGACAGGGAGAAAGAAGCAGGCTTCCTGCAGAGCAGGGAGCCCGATGTGGGACTCGATCCCAGGACCCTGGGATCATGACCTGAGCCGAAGGCAGACGCTTAACGACTGAGCCACCCAGGCGCCCTCTGGCCACTCTTTTACTCACCTTTCCCTGGGGCAGAAATCATAGGCCTGTGCTAACACCCAAACAAAACGCTCACCTCTTTGAGTACACTGAGGGGAAAGATCATTCCTTTCCTTTAACAGCAATGTAGAAAGCAACCCAGCCTAAGTTCTGAAACCAGGAGCTCGTAGTAGGATACTTGGAAATGCTACATCACTGCTCCCTTTGCTGTAACAAGCAGCTTATCATCTGGGAAAGGGACGAGTGGTCCTGGGTGTACCATCCTTGAGAGATAACAGAGGCACTGTGTTGTTTCTATCTGCTTCCCAGGAGAAAGAAGTTGTTACATGGTGATGTTGCAGAGTCCCTGGCCCCAAGGGTCTCCTATAAAACACCTACTCATTCATCCATTCATTTGTTTAATATATTTTGGGTGCCTGTTATGTGCCAAGGTGCTACCTTTAATTGTGGAAAACAAGAGACACAATGTGAATCTTCCTGGATGGAGGTCACAGCCTGATGGGAAAAAGAAACATTAAACTAAGTAACACACAAATAAACATATGTAATGGGGGAGGGTGGAGAAAACTGATAAAAAGTTAGAACAGCTATATCTGCTTTTTAAGGGGTATATATAATTCATGTCTGGAAGGATAGCTCTTTCTATGGTCCCCTCCAGCCTACAAACATTAGTGGGGAAGGGATTCTTGCTTGAGAATTTAATCATGTCCTGTAAGAGTTTGTGAGTTCAAAGCAGAATTGAAAATGTGCTTTGAGTTGCTGCAGATGGAGACCCAGAACAGTCTTTTTCTTTCTCTTTTTCAAGTGGGCACAGGTATGTCATCAACAGGCAGGCCTGGAGCCAAGCTGAGTAGGGGATGAGGCCCTACTCTGCTCAGTATGAACAGGACAGGGGGGAATGAACATGAATGAAACAAGGCTACTAAGCCCAGAGTGTGCAGAAGGAAGCATGGGGAGGTACTACTTAATGGGTGCATGGTTTCAGCTTCACATGATGAAAACATGCTAGAAACAATGTTCTGACTGTACTTAATGCCACTAAACTGTACACTTAAAAATGGTTAAAATGGTCAATTTTATGTTACAGGTATTTTATGATAAAAAGAAAGAAAACCAATTTTTAATAAAAAAGAAAGAAGGGAGCAGCCTGAGAGTTGATGGGAGGCTGAGGTTCCAGCAGGAGCTAGGAGTAAGAAGACCCCTTTGGGGGGGAATGGTCTAGATATTCAGAGAATAGGAATGTCTAACAATCAATCTTAAGTTTTTTGCCCTAGGAACAACTCACAACCACTGACTGAAGGGAATGGCAGACAAACATCCACAGCCCCTGACCCCTCCCCTGAGGTCATTCAGAGGTGACTGTTGTATTACAGATCCCCAGAGGCATGAAGCACCCTACCCACACTTGATAATGTACTTGTATGGATTGCCTCCCCTTCCAGTGCTTCCTGGGATCACCTCCCACGTAAACTGCTTGTACCTAATCCTTATCTCAGACTCTGCTTCTCAGAAATCCAAACCAACCCACCACATTTTGGTATAGAAAACAAGTGCTACCATCCAAAGGAGGCACACACAGAGACAGGGGTGATGTGGGGCACGAGAAGTAGAAACCTCCCAAGATGCTTCTTGGGGGCATCTCTGGACCATGAAGGCTTGGGTACCCAGCTCAGGGCCATATAAAGAGGCAAGTACTCATCAAAGCAAATATGCATGAGCCAAACTTACAGAAACGGGAGCATGAAATCATACAATCAGTGCTTTTAATTCAAAACGAGAAAGACAACTTCATCCTGGCCAGACCTCTTGCACCCACCTGATGGTACCTTCTCTCCCTGCAGACAAAGGAAACCTGTGATTATCTCAAAGCTGCCTGGTGGGCAAGGGCTGCGCCCAAAATGAGCTACAGAATCCCCCTGCTGAATGAATGACGTTTGGGAACTACGGTGGGGCTGGACACCGAACAGGCCCTCACTGACAAAATCCTTGTTGATAACGTTGCCTAAGTGGGTGCAAAGGCTGCAGCCAGCTCCCCCACCCTGGGAGTCTCAGATTCCCTTTGCACTGCCATGACTGTGGGCTTGGAAGTTTGAGAAAGTGGGCTGAGTTCCGCTCCTCATGCTCCAACACTAGCAACTGCTGGACTGTTTTTGGGGCTGGCTGCCGGAGATGGGAGAAACCGGGGTCAAGGACAGGTGGGGCTGGCCCACTGCAGCAGTATGAATGAGTCACATGGCACCTCCAAGCACAAGATGTTCTGGGATTCCTTCCCACCACCCTTCGCCCAGCCCCCTTTCCTGCCAGCTTGTGGTGTCCACTTGTCCTGGGTGTGGTACCACACCTAGGCTGGGAGCAGGCTGGGAAGGAGGCCGATGCCAAGCTTCACCTGGCTGTGTGTGTGTCCACCCGTCCCTGTCCTTCCTCCTTGCCCTCTCAGGAAGTCCCATCCCAGGGAGTGGTTAGCGGGGCCACGCAGCACTGAATTCCTTCTCCAGACCCTGGACAAACTGGTCATTAAGGAAGAGCAGTTGACCATGGGGCAGGAAGCGGGCAAGGATGCCCTCAATGCGATCAGCCCGAAGCAGGAGGTTGGTGCTGGGGGTCAGCAGCCGGAGGTGGTCGAGGAGGAGGCGTGCCAGCAGCCGGAGTGTGCCCTCAGCCAGTAGCAGGTTCTCGTGGGCATCCAGCACCAGGGCGAAGCCTAATGAGAGCACGCCCAGCCATACCACTGTCCGAGGCTCCTGGAAAGGGTCCCCTGCTGCCAGGCGGAAGGCCCCAAGGGGGGCTTCATGCAGGGGCACTGGCTCATCTGAGGACTGAGGCTGCAGGTCCATGAGGGTCCGGCCAGATGCCTGCTGCTGCAGCCGGCACATGGATTCCACCTGCCTGGGGAGAGTGGGTGGGTCACTGACTTCTGTCATCCTCATGACCACCCTCAGAACTGCTATTAACTCCATTATCTCAGATGTAGAAACTGAGCCCCAGAGAGACTATAAGACCACAGAGCAGAAGCATGAGCCATGACAGGAATCCAGGCTCCTGCCTCCAGGCCCTGGACCCTTTCACTCCATGTGTTCATGAGAAGGCAGGTTTTGAACACAGCCCCTTGGGCCAGGGAAGGGCACCAGGGGAAAAAGACCCTGCCCCCACCAGCTTCACAGAGGCCTCCCTAACATAAAGAAAAGCAAGCCATGAGAAGTAAAAGCCATGTTCAGCTGGGCTGTCCAACCTCTCCACCCCCCATCCCACCCTGCAACCCAATCCAAACAAAAAAGACTTTCCACTTGGCCATTTAGGCTTTTGAAATCACACTCTGATCCCTCCTGAATCATCTTCTAATTTGGGCTGTGCACAGGCTGGTTTTAAAGGCCTTCGGTTTTCTGTGCCATGGGAGGGGGGTGGAGACCCAGAGGAAAAAAGGGACGGCAAAAGACTAGCACAGGGCTGCCCCAGAATGTTAATCCCCTGCCCGCCCCCCCCCCCCCCCCCCCCCCAGCCACAGAATGCAGAGAGGCAAAGAGATTCTGGAACTTGCTGGCTCCATCTGGGTCTGGGATGGGAAGGTCCAAGGCCAGCCACCACATCTGAAACAGTGTTTCCCAAACTATTCTCTGTGGATCCCAGGCTTTCAGGAGGCTCTGGGCTCAGAGCTCCCATGTACCACATTCTCTTTCCTCCTTAGGGATTCATAAAACCTACACATATACTAACAGCCCTGAGAAGTCCTGCACTGCAAAGCATGTTTAATCTGTTCCAAGGTTTGCCTGCCTACACTCAAATCCCAGCTCTGCCATGTTCTAGCTGCAAAACCTTGGGCAGGTTAAGTTCCTGTGCCTGTACCTCAGTTTATCTGTAAGGTGGGGATAATAACTGTATCTATCTCAATAGACTGTTAAAAGAATTAATGAGTTCATATACATGAAATGCTCAGAACACTTAGCACATATCTATAAGCTCCATTAATGCTAGCTATAATTGTAATGATGATGACAATAGCATTATTATTTCTTTAACCCCTTCTCACATAGTTCTGAACAACTGTGGATGATTGTGGAAACACTACTCAAACTTTCTGCTTTTTAGTCTGATTCTCTGTACCCCCCCCCACACACACAAAACCTGTCACAATCAGACACGTGTTCAACGAAAGCCTGTGTCACCTGGCCACAGCCAAAATCTGCTCCTTTCGGAGGAGCCTGTCCCGCTCAGCACCATGTGGTCGTGGGTCATCGGGTGAATTCTCGGCACCAAAGACGCAGGAGTAGAGCACTCGGCAAAGGCCCATGTCTTGGGCCTGTGGAGCCCGCAAGGTGTGGATGAGGAAAGCGTGGACCATGGTTCCGGGTGGGCACTACAGGGAAGCCAGAGACCTCGGTGAGATGAGTGTGAAAGCCCAGCAGCGCAGGCAACCACAAAACCTGGGAGCACGTCCGGAGGCTGCTGTGGTTGGTCACTGGTCCCCCTCCACCACCCAAGACGCACTCCCTGCCTCTGAATAATGGCGTCTGGTCCCCAGCACTTCTGTCCGCAACAGAGTCAAAGGGTGAAGATATCTCAGGCAACCCCAAACCCGGTTCTACAAAACAAATGGCCAGGAATCTTCAAAAGTGTCAAAGTCATGAGAGTCAAGGGACGCCGGGGAGCTGCTCCAGACTGAGACTAAGGACAGGGCAGCTGAACGCACCTGTGATGGGGTCCCCAGCCAAGAAAAGGGTAGTTTCAACATACAGCATTATTAGGACAACTGGAAACATTTTAGGTAACAGTCTTGATCAGTGTTACCTGATTCTGGATGTAGGAGAATGTCCTCGTTTTTAGAAAATACACACTGAAGTACCTCTAAATACACAGGTAAAGCGGCATCGTAGCTGCGGCTAACTTAATTATCAAAGGGTGTAAGGTAGTTCTTTATAAGAAAACTCCTTAAGTTTTCTACAAGTTTCAGATTACTTAAAAATAAAGTCCACTAAATAACGATACTACTACTAACAGTAGCGTCCGCCTGGCTCAGTTGCCGGCCCGGGGTGGGGAGGCAGCGGGGCAAACAGGAAGCAAATATCCGGATCTGTAATTAAGGGTAAGTAGACCGTCCGTTTAAATTGGTCAAGCACGGAAGGTTCGCGAAGGCGCTTTGAGACCGGCAGCGCGCTGACCCTGGGCTGACCTCCGGTGACCCTCCAGCCTCACGAAGAGCGCGTCATCAGCCTTCGCCACCGTCTCCCCCCCCCCACGAGAAATGGTAGCGACCAAAACCCTCACGTCACTGCCTCGCGCCAGCCAGCGGCGCAGTGCATTTAGGGAGTTGTAGTTCCTTGCTCCAGTCAAACAGACCTAAGCAGAGCACCCCGCCCTGAGTGTGCTGCCCCTTCAGCCCCGGGGCCGCTGTCCTCCTGGCGTCATACCCTTCCTTTCCTGCCCGCGGACTTCTGCTAACAGCCCGCTCCACTCCGCAGCAGGAGAGCAATGGCGGCTGCGCGGCTCCCGGGCACCTGCGCACAACAGTCGCGGGCGCGCGCACGAGCTGACGCGCGCATGGGGGGCGGGGGCGAGGGCGAGGCCCCCACGTCGGGTCACGTCAGTTGTACTCTTCCGGAAGTGGGGAGGGGTGGTATTCTGACGCCTGGCCCCCCGGCACGGGCGGCTTTCGCCTTCCGACCAAAGACCCCTTGCTTCGAACTCCCAGCGGGGCCCCGCGGGCTATTCCCAGACCCGGCGTTAGGGGTCCCGCTCGGAGGCCTGAACCAGCCTCGCCCCAGGCCACCGCCCCCGGCGACCGCGAGGGGGCGCAGCGGCCCGGCGTGTGAACCTTCCGGGAAAGGCCGGGGCGGGGGGGGGGGGGGTGCCGAGGCTCGTGGGGCCTGAAAGTGCAGGGCCCGTTCTCGAACTGGCCAGTAAGCGCGAGAGTCACTGGGGTGCCTGTTAAAATGCAGATGCCTGGGCTTTACTTGTGGAAATTGTGACTTTAGGGGAAAGATGCATGTTTAGGCAGTTGGTGGGGGAGGGTTTGGGGTGTGGATTCCCGCAGCGGGTTAAGACCAGGCTTCGTTTTGGAGTAGAACGATTAAAATTTGAACCCACCCCTGTCACCAGCCGTGTGTCCCTGGCAGGTGAGTCACTTCGTTGGGCCCAGTGAAGCCCCGTAGGGTTTAGCAGGCTGACCAGTTTTTCCTTTCATATTACCGCTTCTGACAAGGTGACCCCTCTTTGAGGGAGGCCATCAAAAGTATAGTGAAGAGACTTACTTAAGACTGAAAGGGGCACTGCCAGGCACCAGCCTCCAGAGCCAAGCGGTGGGATAATATCCCCAATTAGAGGCTCAGCCCAGAGGTGTTTGGGGCCCTGCAAGGTCTGTCCTGAGCCTCACTGCCTACCTTCTCTTTTACCTCTTGGCGTGTGAACGGCTCAAGATTCCCAGTGTTCTGTGCCTCAGAGCCTCCACACTGGCTGTTCCCTCAGCCTGGAATGCCCTTTCCTACACTTCGTTTGCCCTTCAAACTTAGGGGAAACCTTCTTGCCTGGACTGCCCATTAGCATTCAGTTGCCCCCTTTGCACCCATTGTTGAGGGCCTGCCTCTGGTGGTGATGTTTCCCATGGAGCATACCCAGGCTATGGTACTCATCCTCCTTCCCCAGGGCCATTTCTTCTTGGTGACTGAAGAAATGAAGGGCAGGGCAGCTCAGGCAGGGACCCTGGAGCCAGGACCCTTCCAAGGGCAGGGCATGTATTCTGGGCCCCTCTAACCATAGGACGTGGGCAGGGGGACACTGAAGAAAGGCTAGAGGAGGTGGCCAGTGGGTGGACCAGGGCATGTGGGCATTTTGACCACAGGTACAACACATACATATATTTGTAGATGGGAGGGGCAGGCCCAGGGACGGTGTGGGGACTCAGTCACAAGGCTGGGGGTCATGTCATGTTGGCTCAGTTACTGGTTCCTGGTCCCTATCACTCTCAGCCAGAACCCGAGTCTGCTAGCTGATTACAGCAGAGAGCTGGCAGAGGGCTCTGGTTGCTTGGGGCCACCTGGCATCTGGAACACAGTATTCTAGCCTTCGTCCACTCCTTGGGCAGTGAATCCACTCCAAGTCCCAGGCCACTGAGGGGCTGGCTGGCCTTGTGTGAGGTATGTGAAGGAGACAGCAGTGAGAAGCTAACCTGAGCCACTACTGTGGAGGGCTGTGGAAGACCCAGATGGAGGTGGTGTCCTGATAAATAGCAGAGCAGAGTCAGGTGCCATTCCTGACTTTTTGCAGCCCTCAGCCAACCTGTGCCTTCCAGGTCAAAAGCTCTGTGCTGAGGACAGCAAGGCAGGAAGGAACCTGGGTCCCCCAAGATGCTGCAGAGCCTTCTTCCTGAGGGAAGAGCACACATGTTGACTTTGCTAAACAGCTGTGTGCGGTTGCTATGACCTACAGACTAATTCATTCCTGAGGCAGCATGTGAAGAGGTCAGGGTGTTGCCTGGCATGCGGTAGGCACTCCGTAAGTCAATAAATGTTGACAACCATTAATACAGAGGCAGGATAGGAAAAGGTGTCAGAGAGGTGTTGGTCAGCACTGGAAAGCAAGTGGGGCCTTCTGTCTGATGGGAGTCCCGGTGCTTCTTGGAGTTATCAGACCTGCCCTGAAGACAAAATGGAACAGTCTGAGTGTGATGGAGGTAGCGGGTGTTGCATGTTCTTGTGTGAGGCTTTCATAGAGGTTACCCTATAGATTGCGGCCGGCCAGGCATACAGTGGGTCCAGACATAGGTTTGTGGGATATGGACAGAGAGAGAGAGAGGTAGAGACAGAAACTGAGTAGAGAAGGAAGAAAAGTAAAATTAAACAAAGCACTACAAAAAAAAATCAGAGGAGCTGGAAGCAAGTAGCTGGCTTTAAGGCCTGGCCAACCTGTCTAGAAGTGGCTGGGGACCACACCTTCCTGTCATTTCCCCTCGCCTCCCTCTGGCTGTGGACAGAGGTGCCCATCACCCCACTCCCCAGCCGTGCTTTTCTCAGGGGTCCTCTGAATTGGGGTGGGCGGCTGGTATGCCTACAGCCTCTTGCATTGGCCCCTTCCCCAGACTCCTACCCTCCACAGCTGTCTGCCCACGTCAGATCGAGGCCTACCCCACGATGCCCCTTTTCCAGTACCCCTTGGTGCTCACCAATGCGATGTATGCACAGTGACTGGCACTGATTCAATTTGGAAAGCAGGTTCCATTCCCCAACTACCCAAGCCACAGCAGTGTCCTGAATCGCTGGTGGGCAGTCTGGCTTGGGAAGTTCTCCTGCTTCTCCTGGACATCAGGACCAACCCCCAGGTCCTGCTTACACACCTCCAAGGACAGGGAGCTCACTCCTTGGAGACAGCCCCATTAGTTTTTGACAGCTGGAAACCCTTACTGATGATCTTTACAGACCTTGGGTCCTCAGGCCAGACTAGTCGAGCAACCACCTTCTTCTGGATGTGGGGAGGGCAGTTGGGTGGAATCTGTCAGCTCCAGGCAGTGGATTTTTTGAATGACTCCCTGATTAGGATGTCTAGCCATTTCTTAAAGAGTAGAGCAGTAGGGTGCCTGGGTGGCTCAGTTGGTTGGGCGACTGCCTTCGGCTCAGGTCATGATCCTGGAGTCCCTGGATCGAGTCCCGCATCGGGCTCCCTGCTCAGCGGGGAGTCTGCTTCTCCCTCTGACCCTCCTCCCTCTCATGCTCTCTGTATCTCATTCTCTCTGTCTCAAATAAATAAATAAAATCTTTAAAAAAAAAAAAAAAAGAGTAGAGCAGTAAACTAAGAAGAAAGGATCTGCTTTTTTGAGAATCCCGGCAGGCTGAGATTAGGCTGCCCTAGAATAAAGGGGACCAAAGTCAGACAAGCCTTGTCCTTTCGTCCCCCTCCTCCTCCCTAGGCCACCTCAGAGATGGCATTGCCCTGTGCAGCAGCACCCCACCAGGCACACAGATGGCTTCCTCCTCTGTCTCCACCACATCCCCTTCCACAGCTTCCTAACTGCTACCCGGACTGGTGCAGTAGGCCACCAGCCTACACACAACAGCTGGGCTTTTCTCCTGCAACCCATCACCCAGGCTTGCCCATGTGCAGAAAGGGAAGAAACACTCAGCCTGGACCCCTCTCTTTTAATTGTCTTCAGGCTCCTCCTTTTTACTTGTCTGATCTTGTAATCCTCACACTGGCCCTAAGTCATAACAGCTCTAGCAGACTCTTGTATGGCACTTGCTGTAGACAGGCTCTGTTCTGAATGCTTTACATACACTAACTCTTTTGATCCAAACTGCAAGGGGCTTTGAAGGAGGGGCTTTACAATCCCCATTTACAGATGTGGAAATTGAGGCACAGGGAGATCAAGTAACTTTCCTGATGTTATACATGTGCTAAGGGAGGTGTGCATGTCAATAGATTTTAGGCTGCCTCCTCCCTTCCCCTGGTGTGTCCCCTTCTCCCTTGTCCCCTCACAGTCACCCCAGGGGCTGGCTCAGGCCCTGCTCCCAGCTCCAGAAGGCCATAAGCTTCCTCCAACCCCAACCCTTCTTACCTTCTACAACCCAACCCTGGGAGCTCCGTCCCACCCTCAGGGAGCCCCAGGGCCCCATGGAAGCTGTCTTGGCTGGGTTCCAGGAGGATGAGGGCATGTGTGATTCGTCCTTTCAAACAGCCGCGCTTCCTTCAGGGCTGACAGCCAGGAGGCCCCACGAGGCGGCTCAAGCCCAGCCACGTGAGGCTCCCTCCCCTCCCGCTGCCCCAGGCCCCGCTGACTCAGAGCCTCACAGCCACCCCCTCCCAGGGGCGTGTGCGGGTGCAGGCTAGGGGGGGCAGGGGCAGCCCCTGGCACCCCACAAATCCCTGTGTGGGTTGGGTGGGAATGCTTCTTACCTTCTGTCCCATAACCAGCTGTCTTCTCTGAACAATGGGCTGTGAACAAGTCCACATCCTGCAGTGTTCTCTCAAGGCATGACTCCTGGCCGTAGACCAGCAACTTCTCCATCATTATTACTCAACTTCCCTCTCCTGATTGTTTCCAGATTCCACAAGGCCGTGGACCTCCCTGTCTAAACAACCCTCCTTTCTGCACCAACAGTTTTCTCACCTCTGGAAAGTGGGTGCCTCTGTGTTCAATTCCAAGGATGAAGACTGTTTAGAAATCCCAAGTTTTCTAGAAGGCTGTGAGCTGTTGTCAGTGGATGGATTCAAGCCAATGACATCCAGCCAATTAACTCCAAAGAGTCACTTTAACTTTTTAAAGAATCTGACTTGAGGAAAAACTGAAGACTAAGATTTCCATATAGGAGAGTCAGAAAACAAGCTGGGTTTATAATGCTTGAGCCCTTGCCTCTGCCACCCCATAGCATGTAGGTTCAGCACTGAAGAGAGCTCCTTGCTACATACAACAATCGGATTTTCTGGCTAAGAGAAATTAAAACCGGCCAATTTTGCTGAGCGTATGGAGCAACTAGAGCTCTCAGACTCTGCTGGTGGGAAGGTAACATTATAGCAACCACGGGGAAAACGCTAAAGCTGAGGGAACACACCGCGACCCAGCAGTTCCACTCCTGGGTATATTCCTAGTACCCTTTGAAATCATCCCAAGTAATCTGTCGAGGGCAGAATGAAAATGCTCTAAATCCTGATTGTGGTGGTGGTTACACAACTGCATGCATTTGTTAAAACTCACAGAACAGAATCATACACTCAAATCGGTGAATTTGACTGCGTATAAATTATATCTTAATTTTTTTAATGTGAAAACCAGAAGAAAAGAAATGTAGAATGAATAATGCAATTTAGGAGTATATCTATATGATGGGATATTATACAGCAATGAACAGGAACAAACCCCCTGCAGAAGGAAACATAAATGAATCTCAAAATCATGCTGAAAGAAGCCAGACATAATGGACACCTGGGTGGCTCAGTCGGTTAAGCGGCTGCCTTCGGCTCAGGTCATGATCCCAGGGTCCTGGGATCGAGGCCCACATTGGGCTCCTTGCTCAGCAGGGAGCCTGCTTCTCCCTCTCCCGCTCCCCCTGCTTGTGTGCTCTCTCTCTGTCAAATAAATAAATAAAATGTTAAAACAAAAAAGAAGAAGCCAGACATAAGAGTATGAACTGTAGGATTTCTTGTGGACAAAGCTCAAGAACAGGAGAAACGACACTGTGATAGAGGTCAGAACAGTGGGGACCCTTGGAGTGCAGGCAATGGGGAGGGAGCATGACAGCCCCTCCTGGGATTCTAGAAAGGTCCTGTATCTTGAGCTATGTGGTGGTTCCTTGGGTCTGTGCTCTATGCTTAAGATGTGTGCCCTTGATGAAATGTTGATTATTCTTCAATTTTAAAACATTTTTTTAGGGACACCTGGGTGGCTCAGTCAGTTAAGTGGCTGCCTTTGGCTCAGGTCATGATCCCAGGGTCCTGGAATCGAGTCCCGCATCAGGCTCCTTGCTCAGGGTGGTGGTGGGGGGAGCTCCCTCTGCCTCTGCCCACCCGCCCCCCGCTTGTGCTCTATTTCTGACAAATAAATAAAATCTTAAAAATAATCTGTTTTTAAAAACTTATTACAAGTGATCCAGTGAGCAATTCAGATGATGTCCAGACCCCACCAGTGCCCACTGACTTGGCCAGCTCCCCGCCTGCGCCTGGCCCCACGAAGCTCTTTAACCATGTAAGCAAGCTGCACCCGGCTGCTCCCAGGCTGGAATTCCTGCCCCGCCCTCGCCCAAGCAAAACAACCTTTAAAACTGGCCAGCAGCCCAGGTTTTTAAACTGCTTGCTTGCCTGATCTGCTCCCCTTTTTGAGCATCCAGGAAGAAAGTTACAGCTTCTCTTGCTGGGGGCGAGGAGGAATTGGAACACCTCTGCCCCATCCCCTGAACTTCCCAGGAGTAGATGGGGTCCTGACCTGAGTTGGAGGGGCAAACTTCTGGCATTTCCTTGGACCTTCTCTGGGGAAAGTTTTGTTTCTTGGCTTAACCAAGACCCTCTCCCTGCCCCCTCCTCATCTTCCCCTGCAAAATGAGCTATATACCTACCTGGTAAGCTTAGGAGACAATATGTATAGTAAGTGTCTGGAACAGTCTAAATGCCCCATGACCACAGCTATGATTCTGATGGTGGGGTATGATGGGGACAGATGTAGCCTTAGATGTCAGCACCGGGCACACAGCCTGGGCATTGTTAGACACTCAGCACCCATTGCTCCCTCCTCCCCATGTGGCCTGATCCTGACCCATGGAGTGGAAATTGGACACCCAGAGCAGAAGCCAGGCAGCTTAACCCCACCCCCTTGGCTGGGACAGAGGCAGGAGGTGAGGAGTGGGAGAATCCCAGGCAGCTGAAATGCTTGCTCGGCTTGTATTTGCTGTGTGACTTGGGGGCAAGAGTATGCCATCTCTGAGCATCCCGCAGCCTTCCTCCTCTGTTGTATGATCAGGAAGGGGGGGGAGGGGGCTTCCGGAGACCATGTAAGCAGAGTGGAGCTGGCAAATCTCAGTTGGAGAGTGCCCAGGGCTCTCTCCCTCCCCGTTTCTCCCTGTTCCTTGGGGGTCCACACAGATATTTTTCCTTTTCTGGGGCAAGTCCCCTTACCCAAATAAATGTCCTTGGTATCACCTGCCTGCTTAATGGAGAGGGTTTCTGGAGCTTTCAGAGCCCCTCCCTCCCTGAGCAAAGGCCCAGCACCTTCAGACCATCAAAGCCATACCCCAACACCCCCCACCCATTGTGCCCTTGTGGGAGGGGTGTGTGTGTTGCGGGGGGGGGGGGGGGAAGCCCCAGCCTTTGGGCATAAGAATCTTGGGGGAAAAGCTGGAGACAGGGCAAGCATCATTTAGACTCAGCCTAGGAATCTGGAGTCCCTTGTTGCTCTGGTAGGAAATCGCTTCCATTTTCCCATCTGCAAAATGGAGTGAATAATCACTGGCACTGTCTAGTTCAGAAGGTAGATGAACTTTGGCAGAAAGTGGTAATGATGACTGACAGATTGTATGCACTCTGTATCAGACAGTACCTATTTGTACATGGGCAAAGGAAGCCCTACAATCACAGACTCGCATTCGGGGGCCGGGGTCCCCTGCAGTGGTATTCTGAGGGAATTTCCTGAGATACCAGGTTTGGCCCTGGGACCAGGTCTCCCAGATTGGCCCTTTTCCACTCTCTTCATCTTGAACTTGGCATCTCCTAGGTGGTGGAACCTCTGCTGGGTGCTGGGGATATGGAGGAAAGTCATTTCTCTGATGGGGCAGGAAGGCAGGCTTCTAGGAGGAGGTGACATTTGAAATTGAGTCTCAAAGGAGGAATAACAGATGGACAAGAACATTCCTGATAATGCAACAGATGCAAAGGAAGGAAATGTGAAGAACAAGGTATGGGGATTTGAGTCAAAAGAGGTGAGGAGTGGGGCTGGGGAGGGTCCAGGTCCTAAAGGGCCATGCCAAGAGTCTTCTTAGTTTACCCTGCGGGCAGTGGGGAGCTACTGACAATTCTTGAGCAGTGACAGGGTCACTTTAGCTTTCCTGGTGCAGTTTAGGAAGGGTGAGTTCAGAGGTGCTGGAGTAGCTACATGAAGGATAAGTGAGGCTGCCTTGGGGAAGAAAATGTGAGGCTACCTCCACAGGAGTCTTCTGGCCCCCATCTGCTGACCTGTCCTCACCCTATCCCACCATCAGGGTCGGCCAAGGTTTGTCAAAGGCCCACAGGACACGATGCTGGTTACTCAGCTTGCTCAGTGCTTTATTGAACCAAGGCCTGAACAGGTGAGTCAACAGGGCCTTCAAGCACAGCCCTCCACACGTCCTGAGATTCAGAATCCAGACGTGGCTCTGTCCTTGGCTTCACTGCTTCCATGACATTTCGTCTTGAATATTTCCAAACCTTAATGTGTAAAGATTTTGTCCACACAGACACAGACACACATATATCCTTGCTGCAGATGGTCATGCTCACTGAAATGCTTCCACTCAGCAGTTTGTGTGTGCAGGACATTGGGCATCCGTGGCTCTCCATCCATCCACCATCCATCCGTCCGTCCATCTGTCCATCCACAACAAGAGAGCAGCAAGTTCTGACCAGTCGGACCCCGGAGTTCACAGCAGTGGGGGCTGGGCTGCCAGGCGCTGAGGATGCAGACCTTAGCCCTCGCCCAACAGGCCCCCAAGGAGGTCATCCCTTTCTGATGCACCAGAAGCCAGGGTTGAGTGGCTAATTAATGTTTGGAGTCTCTAACCCCAAGTGGAGAGAGGAGCCTAAATCTCAGCCTGTGCATACCCTGAGATGGGCAACAAATCAGACGAATGAATCAAGCATGTAGGTAACACTGAAACAGGAAAGAGTAAGAGCTTCTGTTTGTGCTAGAGGTGTTCACGTGGAAGGACAGGAAAGAGAGGAAGAGAAAGGGAACATGGCAGACACACCCAAGAGTGCCAACACCCTGGGCAGGGAGAGGTTCTGCTTTGGCCCATCCTGGGGTGTGTGGGGGGTGCTGTGGACTTTCCTCCAGCCGCTTACAGAGTGCCTAGGAAAGAGGGGGGGCTTTTCTGGACATAAGACAAAGGGTTAGGAAAAAAAGGAAGGAAAAAAAGCAAAAAGGTTCCTGCTGGACACAAAATACTTCCTTTGAGCTGGACTTAATCCAGTTTCACCAAGTCAACAGGCTGGGCTCTCCCAGGGGCTGGGCTGGGGTTGGGGGTGGCACGAGAATATGGAGTATGATCGCAGTGAGACATGGGGATCGGGGCTGGGGGCAGATGCACAGGACACCCTCACTGTCCTTCCCCTGGATGGCAGCTGGGGCCTCCAGCAGACCCTCAGCCCTGCAGGCACCCGGGTGGCTGGCACCCAGGCAGTGAGGCCAAGAAGGTAGGCAGGACCGGTGCTGGCCCTTCACTGGTCCTGCAGGCGGCTACAGAGCTCCCGCCGGCTCCGCTCCCCAGCCCAGCTGCGGGTCTTGAGGCGGAAGGTCTTCAGCTCGTCCCTGAAGGCTTCATGGTTCATGGGCCGGTAGTCCTGGGGCTCACAGAAAGTCTAGGGCAGGATGGGCGGGTCAGTCAGTATGGAGGAATGGGAACTTTTAGAGGAAACCTCCCTTCTCCTTGGGCTACCCACTGGCCGAGCCCTTTCCCTGCAGTCCAGCCCCCCCACGAAGGCTTCAGCCACCCCGACCCATGGTACCGGGTGCTGCGGGAAGAACTCCTTGTAGCCGCCCTTGAGGATATACATCTCAGGATAGTAGAGGCTGGGGTAGTCGTTGGCGGCTCTGTCACGCTCCCTGATGAAACGACACCTGGGACCAGCAGGGGTGTGGGGGTCAGAGCTGGGAGGTGTTGCAGGATATGCCTCAGGGGACCTATTCTTTGCACCCCCTCTTTTGTGGGCCTTGGAGAGCTACAGAAGGCTTGAATGCAGCAATGTCAGCCATAAGAATGCTTTTAGATCATCTGGCTACCGGATCCAGAGGAGGTTGGAGAGATGGAAGGAAGGAGGTAAATCAAGGCAGTTGTTTCTATAAGGCAGTTCACAATCTTTGTTAGAGATAACTGACCTGGACAGCAAAGGGGGAAGCATAAAGGACAGAAGTGGACAAAATTTGAGAGATCTGTTCAGGAGGTCTGGAGAAGACTTGGTGAGCATGAGAGGTGGGGAACGGAAAGATCAGTCAAACCCTGGAAGGCTGAGCATCACTGAGGCCTGGGACAGGGCCCTTGGATATTAAGGACACTGCTGGAGACCTGGAACCAGATCTTGAGGGGAAGGGGTGGTGACAATGGATGGAGGGTGGACATAAGGCCTGATGGGAAGGATGGGGAAGACGTGGGAAGAGGGTGCCATGCACAGGAAGGGAGGGTGAGGTCTGCTCCAGATGCCAGGAGACTAGAGGCCCAGATCTAGTGGGGACTGGGGCTGGGCTCAAGCCTCTTGGGCATCAGATGATTCCAGTACCCCAAAGCCTGGGCAGGAAGGTCAGGAGCAGACATTAGCTAGCTGACTCACATGCGGGGACCGCGCTCAGATGAGAATTCACAGTGGAAAATGAGGATGATTCTCTTGTCCAGATTACAGGGTGTGATGGGGCTGTGTAGCAGGAAGGTCTCAGCATCCCGTTCCAGGGGCAGGTTCACAGCAGTCTGCCAGGGGAGCTGGAGGTCAGGCCACGGCCCTGGGGCTGGGTGGCTTATCCCTCCCCATGCCATCCCCACCTTTCAGACGTGTGATTCCACTTCTTACTGGACAGGATTCTTCCCCCATAGAGGGTGCAGCCGCCCTCCACGGATTCACCCCGCCCCCCCACCACAGAAGGACAGAACTGGTGGGTCTTCAGGGCCTGTCCCCATCAGCCCGCCTCACCTTGATGTGCCCGCCTTCATACTCGTAGGGGTACCTGCAGTCCACAATCACAAACCTCTCCACGATGTTGCTGAACTTGCCTGCCAGTAAGGCTGCCATCTGTGGGCCACAGAGGTGGGTCCCAGCAGGTCAGGCTGGCAGGAGGGGGCTGACCCCAACTCTACCACCGGTCTGGCCTTGCAGCCCATCCCCAAGGAAGGTGAACAGGCAAACAGCCATCCCAAGTGTGCCTGGAGAATGGCTCATCCCCAAGTACCGTTTCTGGTGAGATGTACTTGAGATCTTGGTGCTTCCCATCCACAGTCTGCAGAAGGAAGGCCTGAAGGGAAAGGGGGAGAGAGAGATTGAGAAAGGGAGAGGGGAGAGAGAGAGAAAGAGGGAGAAAGGAGAAAAAAGGTGAAATTGGCAAGACTCGGAGCCTGGGAAGGATGGAGTTTCTTTCCCAAGCCCAGAATGCCACACCTGCTTTGACCTTCAAATTCAGCTCTGGTTCCCATAGCAACCAAGAGGCGCCTCTTGGGTCTGACATCCAGGGAACAACCCCTGGATGGGAAGAAGGGAACAGAAGAGTTCACCTGCCGCCACACTCTGCCAAGCCGCCCGGATGAGACCCGAGGAGGCTCCACGCTACAACGTTAGTTTGGAAAGGTTTTCCAAGGTTGAAACACAACTGATGCCCCAGACAGATCTGGGGTAGAGTCAGGAGACCAAGGAGAGCTGGAGAGAGGAGTCTAGGTGAGAATAAAGAATAAGCTGTGAAGGACAAAGCCGGGGGCGGGGCAGGGGGGAGGAGGTACCAAGGCAGCTACTGAGCTCAGGGGGCCACACAGTAAAGGGTCGAGCCTCCCAAGGGTCCACTGCTGGTACCTTGGAGTAATCCCCAATCAGTTCCCGGTGGTCACTGTCCAGGATAGTCTCAATCTCCTCGTGACACAAGGACTTGGAGCGGAGGACACGGGCTTTCTGCAGGGTAGATCGTGGCCAGGATCAGGGGCCAGGCTGCCCCTCAGTGTCCCGTGGGGCTGGCACCTCTCCCTGCACCTTGCCCTCTGCCACAAACCCGGCCAACAAGGGCAGGCAGGGTCGACTTGGACAGTGGCTGACCGGCCCCACCCCAGGGGGGCACCCACAGGTTCTTCGGCCTCCCGGTGCTCCTCTGGAGGGGTCACACTCCTCCTCCGTTTGTTCTGTATGGGCAGGTCCCTGTCGTGGGGCCGCTCCAGCCTCTTGAGGATGGGTCGGATCACGCTGCAGGGCATGGACGGAGAGCGGAAGAGCCTCTGGCACTTGCTGTACATGATGAGGTCCTGGCAGGGGTGGCAGGTTGGGGGTCAGAGTACCCCACCCCTGCCCCCTACCAGCCCCCCCAAGCTCTGGGGCGGCCCCCTCAGAGACCCACCTGCTCTTCCTCCTTTTCTGAGGTCTTGACCAGTGGGGCGCTAATGAGGCTCTCCATGCCTGGGGGTACCGCGTTGTCGTCCTGAAGCCAAATCAGCAAGGGTACGGTCACACCCGCGGGCAAAGTCCAGCCCCTCAGGCCCCAGGTCCTCCAGCATGGCCCTCCTTGGCCCTGCCTGCAAACCCACACAGGGCAGTCCCCCAGAACCAGGAAACTGCAGGGCCCCACTTGCTGAGACCTGTGGCCCCGCGGGAGGGTTGGACTCGCCTCTACCCTGCAGCACCCTCCCTCACTGCAGCACCAGCCCCCTGCTAGTCTCTGGTAGGCCAGAGGCCATGCCGTGACTCCATTAGCTCTGATTCCTCTTCTGACATCGGAATGAAGTCACAGTCTCGGGGTGGGAGGTCAGGGCTTTCCTCTTTGGGGGAGATCCCAGGGAAAGTGAGGTCGATGGCCTGGTGGGGCAAGACTGGTTACCTTTAAGTCACTCTCCAGGATGTCCACAAATCCATCATCTTCTTCAGAGGCCCCCTGGGTGGCAGTCAGAGAGAAGCGGCATCGGGCTGGGGGACTCAGCTCCTCTACTCCCATCTTGCGCTCAGGGGTGAGACACTGTGCAGGGGACAGACACAGGCCACTCAGGGGTGGGGACCCGAGGCAGCCCTCACCCCCATCCTTCTGAGAAAAGGTTCCTACTGCCTCAGGGTTCAGGATCCCCCTCCCCCTCCCCCCCCAGGGCTGTCTTCAGGGGCACCCACCCTACACCCACCCTACATTGGGTTCCACTCTCCCAATGTACCATCAGGTCGGGAGCTGAGTTTGGTCTCTGGGCAAAGGCTTCTCTGCGGTTGGCCCACTCTGCCAAAGCATGGGCATGGCTGGGATGCGGGGGTTTCCATGGCATCTTGAAGACAAATCCATCCTGTGGGCAACATGGGTGGGTGTCATCAAATGCCAGAGAACCATCCCAGCGCACCCCCTTCCTTCTCTCCCTGAAGTGCTCCCACTCCAGCCTTCTGGAAGCGCACATTCTCTTTGTCCTCCCCAGAGCTGTGGGCAGCTCGGCCACACGCCTCACTCTTCCTCCAGCTGCCAGGTGCTTGGGAGTTGGTGATGTTCCGTAGCACAGGGCTGTGGCCCAGAAGCCTCACCTAGAGAGCCAGGCAGGGCAGCAGGAACTGAAGGCTCCATTCCTCTGGCACCAGCCCTGGCCCTACCTTCTCCCGTCCCTCCTCTGACTCCCCCAGCTTGCCCATCCACCTTCAAAACCCCATCTCCCACAGCCAGACCAGGGACACCAGACCGTTTCAAGTCTGCCCTCTGGGAGGTGACCCCGGATCCCTCCTGCCCCTCCTCAAGCCTGGCCAGGGCCTGAGCCTCCAGTGTCAGGCCTCAGAGGGCACTCACCGGCAAGGACTGGAAACGTCGAATGGTAAACTGCTCGCTGCAGGAGAAAACAGGGAGAGGTCAGGGCTGGAGAGTAGGGGGCTGTGCAGGACAGCACGCAGGATGCCCCTTCACACAGAGCCCTGCGCATCCCTGCGGGAGGCAGTGGGAGAGCACCCTCCCCATGCCTCCTCCATCCAACGGGGGCATGGGGAGAGCCTGGGATAGGTGGACCACCGGAGCCCGCAGGAGGAAGGCTGGAGCACTTACTTTCGGATGACCCGGCTGGCCGCTTGGATGGTCTGCTCAAACCTGGGAAAGAGAAAAGTCCCATGCAGCCCACCTCCCCCTACAGCCCAGTGCCCACCCCCAGCATCAGGCCCCAAGTCCACAAGGCCTGGGGGCCAGGGCTCAGGCCAGCAGAAAGGGGAGGGAAGAATGCTGACTCTCAGGGGCCCAGGTATCGGGGAGGGGGGAGAGAAGCAGCAGCCTGGGATTTTGCAGGCTGCCCTGAATGGAAGAGGGCCCAGAGAATGGAGCAACGGAGACAGCTGGGGCAGGTCACAGGGTGGCCAAGGCGCTACCAAGGCAACGGTCTTGCCAGCTTACCCACAGGCCTTCCACCTGTATGCAAATCACCTCAGCGGGGCCATATGGCCGCCAGGAAAGGCATCCATCCGTCCCATGATGACAGACCGTGGCCGACAATGTGGGTATCTCCAGGGCCTGGATGCCAGCAAGACTGGGCTTCCCTCCCCTTGTGTGGGGCTGTCCTGGCTCCCCCCAGGACAGGGGCCTGGTTTAGAGTGCCCCAGATCAGCCACAGTGTGCCATGCCAGACCCCCTAGTGACAAATGTTCAGGGTCACATCCTCTCCTCCCTCCTATGGAATTTTCTAGGACCCAGCCTCTGTCCCACCCCCTTCTCCTGCCTTAGAAGAGGCCAGCAGGCAAAGAATTCCAACAGATGTTCCTTTTGAGGCCAGGGCACAAGCTTCTGTAGATAGGCCCCACCCCCTAGCTATGTTACCAGAGACCACCTGCCACGCAGGGCTTTTGTGTGTCTATGTGAGCCCAGGCGCGAGCGTGCACACGCATACACACACACACACACACACTTCTGAGAAACTGTAACCGTCAAAGCAGGTGCAGAGGTGGGGGGTGGGCACTGAGGGCTAGTGTCAGGGGGACGACTCCCAACGGTGGGGAGGGGCTGTGCCCAGACAACCTGGCATCGGGAATGATGACTTTTATTGGCCTGGTTTCCCATCTGCACCTGCGCCTCAGGAGTAAAGCAGGGACAGTTCTGGGTTGTCACCAAAAACCAACCTGCAATTCCCCCACCCCCACCCAGTTCTCTCCCTGTTTCCTGTTTGTGAACAAACCCTGAAGCCCAGCCCAGTCTGATCAAAGGCAGTGGGAAGAAAGACAGCCACTGCCCTAACCCCAAAGCCATAGTCCCTCAGCCCAGTTTGGGGATGCCCAGCTGTCCCCACTAATGCCTAGCAGCTGCTCTCCCTGATGGGGCTCTAACCGCTGGATAGGGACCGCTGTGCTCTAGAAGATACTACTCATGCCCCACCACCAAGGGAGAAGGATCTGTCCTGAGCACAATGCCCTCTCCACTCTCTCTCAGAAAGGGCCTGGTCTAGGGGTTGGCCAGAAAGCGTCACTGAAGCCAGAGGTTGCTGATAGGATGGTCAAGGGCTGAACCAACCTGCCACAACTGTTTTGTTTGGCCTAAACAAAACAGTTGTGGCAGGTTAAATTAAATGAATTAAATGTTTTGAATTAGTTGGACCATATTTTAAAATTGTAAGGTCTCATAGGGAAAAAAAAAAGTGTATAGGCAAAAGTAAAAAGGGACACACACCAGACCTGTATTCCCACAGGCCAAGGGCTGGCTGAAGTACCCACTATCCCCACCACCTGGCCCTGAGCCCACACTCAGCTGCTCCTGTAGGAGCAGACCCTTCTCTGAGACAGGAAGCAGAATCTCAGGACCAGGGAGGTCAGTGGGTCCCCCCCACATGTGGATTGGAGGGGTCTGTCCACTCTCCCAGACCCAGTGGGTTTATGCTGGAACTAGGATTCCCAAAGGCAGGCACCAACTCCTTGGTAGTGGGGATCCCTTTTCTCTACTCACGTCCGCTCTGCCATTTGGGGGTCCATGGGGCTGGGAGAATCCATACACAGACCTGGGGGGACAGAGCACCTTGGTTTGAAAGTAGTGGCATCTTCTGTACACATTCCCCCACCATGTCGCAACTCTATTCAGAGAAAGGAAAAACCTGTTTCTACTTTAGATCTTGATACATTAAAAAAATGAAACAAAAACCTGCCCCTGAACCCCAAGGGCTAACACACTGGCCCAGAAATTGGGCAGGGCCCCACTCCCTGTTTACTATGGAAACTCCTCTGTATAGGTTTTATTTTTTTAAATATTTTATTTATTTGAGAGGGAGAGAAAGAGCACAGAGGGAGAGGGTGAAGGAGAAGCAGACTCTCTGCTGAGCAGAGAGCCCGACGTGGGGCTCAATCCCAGGACCCCGGGATCATGACCTGAGCCAAAGGCAGACGCTTAACCCATTGAGCCACCCAGGTGCCCCTCCTCTGTATAGGTTTTTTTTTAAGATTTTATTTATTTGACAGAGAGAGACACAGCGAGAGAGGGAACACAAGCAGGCGGAGTGGGAGAGGGAGAGGCAGGCTTCCCGCAGAGCGGGACCCTGGGATCATGACCTGAGCTGAAGGCAAACGCTTAACGACTGAGCCACCCAGGCGCCCCCCTCTGTATAGGTTTTATTTATTATTTTTATTTATTTTTTTTAAGATTTTATTTATTTATTTGAGAGAGAGAGAATGAGAGACAGAGAGCATGAGAGGGAGGAGGGTCAGAGGGAGAAGCAGACTCTCTGCCGAGCAGGGAGCCTGATGCGGGACTCGATCCTGGGACTCCAGAATCATGACCTGAGCTGAAGGCAGTCGCTTAACCAACTGAGCCACGCAGGCGCCCTGTATAGGTTTTAAACCAAAACTTTGCTAAGCATTTTTCTTAAGCTGGTTTAAGTAATTTGTTCTAGAAGAGATAACAGCTTTTTAAAGGAAAAGGTTACAGCTGAAGGCAAGTGAATGTTATAAAATGACCAACTTTCAGCCCTAATGCCTCCCAGCTGGGGCTGTGGTTCAGGGACTTTGGTGCCTGGTTTTAAATAGGTAAGATCTCATCTCCCCATGAGGGCCCCGCCCTATCGCCCCGCTCAGCCAGTCTGGGCTGGGTGTGGGGAGCCCCACCAGAGGTGGGCAGGTGGAGGGTCCTGGGCCCACCAGGTTGTGGGAAAAATGTTAGTCTGATCAGCAGGGAAGTGGAGAGACTCAGGCAGCGCCCCCCACCCCAAGTCCCCTGGTACCCCTGAGCCTCACCTGCATCAGAGGATTCAGACGACAGGGAGGATTCAGATGCCCGCCGCCGGGACAGGGATAGGCATGTGAGCGGGCTGCCTACCTGACGCTTTGGAGTCTCACTGGAAAGGCAACAGGGACGCAGGGAAGGAGAAAGGTAAATGTGGGGCTCAAGGGCTAGCTGGCCCATGTTCCCACCAGCCACCCACCTCTGAAGTGCCCATCCCTGTCCCAGGGAGGTGATGGCCCTGAGAGCCTGCCCTCTTCATGGGTCTTCTGCAGGGATTCTAAGTAGCTTTTCTTTGTTGATTAAGAAAGGTCCTCCTGGGTTCAGGGGGAGGTGAGCCCAGGGCAAGAGCAAGGAGGTGGGTTGAGGGCCATTCTGGGGGATGGCAGGGCAGCAGAGTAGCCCTGGAGGGCCTTCCCCGGAACTCTTCAGACCCCTACCCATCCACAAGCCTTTCTGGAGCAAGGGCAAGACTTAGGTCTCCATTGCTGCTGAGGGCGACCCAGCCTGGACACTGCAGGTTGCTCAGGAAGCAGGACCAGGGTTTAACCCCTTAACCTCAGGAAAGAACTGGGGGTGGAGGGAGCAGGGGCCCGGACAGAAGAGAACCAGGCTTCTCGGCCACCCTCAAGTTCCCACTCCAGGCTCAGAATCCCTTGCCTGGGGCAAAATAGTGGTGATTAGGGCAGGGATTAGGGAGACAGCATGGTGGAGGCACACGGGGGGGGGGGGGGGGGCGGCGGGTAGGACCGGTGTCTCCAGAGGTTTGTGCTGCCAAGAGCAAGTCACCTGGAGGGTGTGCGCTGCACAGACCCGGTCTCACCGCCCTAGTCCCGGGTCCCTGAAGCAGGCACTACCCAGGACACCTCCCCACTCCGCTTCTCAGATTCGGCTCCCACGCCGGGTTCCACGGGAGGCCCGGGACCAACACCCTAGTACGAGCCTCTCACCCCACACCCAGCGTCGGCGGGGCGCCCTACCTGCCGAGCCCGGCGAGGTCGTGCATGGTCTGGGTCAGGGTGGTGACCGGCGAGGAAGCGGCCGCGCGCTCCGGGGACCCCACGAGGCCGTGAGCTCCCAGCTGGAGGCCCAGGAGGTGGCTGGGACGCGGGGCGCCACCGCGCACGCCGGCGGGACTGAGAGCCGGGCCCGGCGCGGGCTCCGACTGGGGCAGCTCCATCGCGGCGGGGCCCGCCGAAGGCTGGCGGGAGGGCCGGGCGCAGGGCGACGCCGGGCACAGCTGGCCGGGACGAGGTGGGGAGCGGGCCCGGGGCGGGGGGGGGGGAGGGAGGAAGAGCCACGGGGTCGGAACGAGGGAGGAGAGGGAAGCGGGGAGGGTGGGGCGGGGTGGAGGGACGCAGGGACCAGCCACCAGTCCGGGAAGCCTCTAAGCCGCAGCTGCCACCTCCACCTCCTTATATATTCGAAAAATAACAGCGGCCGCGCCGCCGGACGCCACCAATGGGGGCGCGGGTTGGAGGAGGGCGGGACCGAGGGCGGGGCCCGCGGGGTGAAAGGCGCGGATGCTGACCAGCCCGGCCCAGCCCAGTTCCAGGCTCTGGTCGGGGCTCAGGAATTGGGGTTTCTCCTAAGCCTCCACGCACCGCCCCCCGCCACCCCAGCCAGGACTCGAGGATCTTGGCTGCCCAAATTCTGCTTCTCGGGATGTGGTTTGGAGGTACCCCCGGCGGAGAGGGTTCCTGAGGAAGCCACACCCGCTAGGGTGGCCTCCGAGGGAACCCCCCGAGATTTAACATCACCTACACTCACCAGTAGGCACCGGGAGAGGCTCCACTCCGGGAGTTTGCCAAACACGGCTACACGGTGCGGTCCGTGTTCGTCACTCTATCGACCCGGACGTTGAGTCGTGGAAAACTTCATTAACTCGTTCAAGGTCACACGGGGCAAGTGGTAGAGCAGAAATTCACCCCAGGCGCTCCTGCAGCCTCTCTGTCCTCTTGACTGGCAGCGCGGAGCGTCGGTAAAGCCTAATTGCCAAGCGGAGCCTACCCCCTCACCCCGCACAGGAGGTAGACCGGAGGTGCGGGCCTCCGTGTAACTCATGGGGCCCCAGGTTACCTGTGACCCCAAGAGGTCCAATTTTCTCCAGCAGCCTCAGAGGAGGCTCTAATGGTTGACCTAACCATAGGTTTTGGCGATTGCGGCCGAAGAAGGTATCTTCGACCTCAGAACCAAGTTATGGAAATACCTCATGCCCACTGACGGTTTGGCTAAAGTGATGTTAATGGCATTACATTGTTTAATTGGTGTTTCTTTGATGACCAAGGAAACTGAATCTGTCACTAGTTTAAACTGAGCATCTTCTAACTGATCACTTTCCAGCAATCTTGTTTTCCTGGAATGAGCCCTGGAAGCCTGCACCCAAAAGTGAATGGGCAGTAAGTGCTTTTGCATCCTGTCTCCCCACTGAAGAGGGGGGCCTCTGGCTGGGTGGTGCACAGCTCAGGCAAGCAAGAGCTCAGGCTCTTCTTCACTTCCCTGCGGTCACATCCCTCCAGCCAAGGTGCAGTGGGTGGGAGTGGCAGAAGGGAGGGCCTGGCAGTAGGTGGTTGGGTGGGCTAGGGGACTTGCGGAAGAACGGGATGCAAAGACCCCAGTTCTTCTTCTTTTTTCTTTTTTTTTTTTTTTAAAGATTTTTATTCATTTGACAGAGAAAGACACAGCGAGAGAGGGAACACAAGCAGGGGGAGTGGGAGAGGGAAAGCAGGCCTCCCGCGGAGCAGGGAGCCCTATGTGGGGCTCAAGCCCAAGACCCCAGGATCACGACCTGAGCCGAAGGCAGATGCTCAACGACTGAGCCACCCAGGCACCCCCAAAGACCCCAGTTCTATCTGAGAGGGGTAGGGAGGTGCAGATCATGACTTTTCCTTCTCCCAACGTTTTGTTCAGCTTCTGTCAGGTGCTATGCTTCGTGCTGGAGAGGGCTCAGATTTCAGGTTCATCCACCCTGGATCAAGAATCCAGCTCCCAACATCCAGCCACTACTCACAGCCCAGGATGTGACTGTCCTGGGGAGGAGGGTGGGTAAGGGTGTGGGTGAGGGAGGAGACAGTCCCGCCTGAAAGACCAGAAATAAAACTGAGGGGTTGCATTTTCAAAATCAACCCAGCAAGGATTACCACCATCCAACACACACACACACACACACACATTTCTACAGGGTGTACGGAGGGTGTGTGTGTATGTGTGTGGCCAAAAAAAGGTGGGGGAGTATTATACTCTTGAATCCTTTCAAATTCCACACTCAGAGGTCACCTCTGGGCAAGTGATGAGAGGCCAGGTGTCATTCCAGAGCATCCCACACATTAGCTCTGTGTATCTTCCTGGATCTCCTTTGCCAATTAGATCCACATTATGTGCTCAATTAAAAAAAAAAGGTATTCAACAAAAAGAAGCTAAGGGCGCCTGGGTGGCTCAGTTGGTTAAGCGACTGCCTTCGGCTCAGGTCATGATCCTGGAGTCCCTGGATCGAGTCCCGCATCGGGCTCCCTGCTCGGCAGGGAGCCTGCTTCTCCCTCTGACCCTACCCCCTCTCATGTGCTCTCTCCCTCTCTCTCATTCTCTCTGGCTCAAATAAATAAATAAAATCTTTAAAAAAAAGATTAAAAAAAAAAAGAAGAAGCTAAAATAAATATTTGCAATAATATCGTTAAGAGGAATGACTCCTCCCATCCAGCCAGGTCCTGGTTACAATGACAATTCAGAGCTGCAGAAAGCTCCACTCCCCATGAAAGGAATACCCTGGCTCTGGACTATCCCTCTGGGCTTGCTTGAGGGGGTCCAGTGTGACCCCAGTGCCTTGGCAGAAAAGAAGGGAAAATTATCACACGTTTCCAAAATCCTTCTCCAAGCCTGTTCCCACACAGCATCTTCTGTGTGGGACTCACTTTTCCAGTGCCTTTTCTGTCATGGCTTGAGACATGTTAAATGGTTTTTAAAAATTGGGACATGGCCGGGGTCCTGGGATCGAGTCCCGCATCGGGCTCCCTGCTCCACGGGGAGCCTGCTTCTCCCTCTCCCTCTGCCTGCCTCTCTGTCTACTTGTGCTCTCTATCTCTCTGTCAAATAAATAAATAAAAAATCTTAAAAAATTAAAAAAAAAATTGGGACATGGTACCAAAAATTCAAACAAAGGAGAAAATTCAAATGGTGCAAAACAGCAGTGAGAAAGTCAGTCTCCCACCCTACACACACCTTCAGGACCCCTGCCTAGAGACAGCCACCAATATGAGTTTGTTGCATATTCTGGAGACAGTCTGTGACAGTCCTAGGCAATCGAAACATAATGGGGAGGCACAGATATGAGCCATATACATAATTTATTTTTTTTAAAGATTTTATTTATTTGACAGAGAGAGAGATAGCAAGAGCAGGAACACAAGTAAGGAGAGTGGGAGAGGGAGAAGCAGGCTCCCCGCCAAGCAGGGAGCCCGATGCGGGGCTTGATCCCAGGACCCCAGGATCATGACCTGAGCCGAAGGCAGACGCTTAACGACTGAGCCACCCAGGCGTCCCGGAGCCACATACATAATTTAAAACTTCCTAGTAGCCACATTAAAAATATGAAAAGAAACAGCTGAAATTTTAATATTTTATTTAACCTCATATATTCAAAATATTATCATTTCAACATATTCTCAATATAAGAATTATTAGATATTTTAGATACTTTTTGGTACCATTTGTGCACTTGACACTCACAGCACATCTCAGCTTGGATGTGACACATTTCAAGTGCTCAGTAGCCACATGGGATTAACTGGGCTACCACAGTACACAATGCAGGTCTATATATGTACAAGCATATGTATGTCCATATTTTTACAAATATAACAAACTGTGTGAAACATTGTTTTACCCCTTGCTTTCTTCATTTTACTTGAAGATGGATCCATAGTAGTACCATAATGTCATATATTTATTCATTTCCCTAATGCTGAACATTTAGGTTATTAGCTTGCACACTGATGCAGCAAGTATACACAGTATTAATTCCGAAAAGGGAACTATTAGCAGATGCCTGGGTGGCTCAGTCGGTTAAACACTGACTCTTGATCTCAGCTCAGGTCTTGATCTCAGGATTATGAGGCCCAGGATGGAGCCTACTTAAAAAGAAAAAAAATAATAAAATAAAAGGGAACTATTGGAAGGTATGGCTCTATTTATTGAAATCTTTTTTTTCCCCTTCCTGAATTTCATCTCCTCAAGCTGATTAGCTGTTGAAGTACAGGGACCAAGTCATTTGCCTCTCCTCCCATCTCCCAGCACCTCATATAGGCCCAAGTCCAAGGTTGGCCCCTGACCCAATATCCCACTTCTAGGGATTTCTCTCTCTCTCTCTTTTTCTTTTTTAACATTTTATTTATTTGATAGAGAGAGAGTGAGAGAGAGAACACAAGTGGGAGGAAGGGGGGAGGGAGAAGCAGACTCCCCGCTGAGCCAGGACCCTGGGATCATGACCTGAGCCAAAAGCAGATATGTAACTGACTGAGCAACCCAGGTGCCCCTAGGGATTTCTCTTAAAAAGATGATGAAAGGGACGCCTGGGTGGCTCAGATGGTTAAGCATCTGCCTTCGGCTCAGGTCATGATCCCAGGGTCCTGGGATAGAGTCCTGCATCGGGCTCCCTGCTAGGCGGGGAGCCGGCTTCTCCCTCTGCCGCTGCCTCTCTCTATCTCTCTCTCTGACTCTCATGAATAAATAAAAAAAAATAATAATAAAATTAAAAAATTAAAATAAAAAAAAAGATGATGAAAGTACACACAGATATATGTTCACTGAGTCACTGTTAATAGCAACGAAACACAGAAAGCAAGCTGGGTGTTCTTATAGGCGAGCAGCTAATGAGGTGACTCCTCTATAGTTTGTAATACCTGCAACTTTTAAAGAGAACAGGCATGGGGGCAGGTAGGGATGCTTGGTACCCAGCAGGAGCCTAATCAGTAATTGTTGGTATCTGAAAGATTACATATTGGGCTTTCAGAAAACGGTCTTTTGAAGAAAGGGTTCCTAGAGTAAAAGAAGTTTGAAATTCACTGATGGAAATAATTATTGACATGAAAAGATGTTCACATTATGCGCTACAAAGTATCATGCCAAGTGTGGTCCCATTAAAAACAATATGAACAGAAAAATATCCCACAAGGATATTCTCTGAGTAGTGGGATCAAATGTTTCTATCCTCAAAATTTGGGGTATTTTTTTTTAAAGATTTATTTATTTATTTGAGAGAGCAAGAATGAGAGAGAGAGAGTACATGAGAGGGGGGAGGGTTAGAGGGAGAAGCAGGCTCCTCGCTGAGCAGGGAGCCCGATGTGGGACTCGATCCAGGGACTCCAGGATCATGACCTGAGCCGAAGGCAGTCACTTAACCAACTGAGCCACCCAGGCGCCCCAAAATTTGGGGTATTTTGGGGGCACTGGGGTGGCTCAGATGGTTGGGAGTCTGCCTTCAACTCAGGTCATGATCTCCAGGTCCTGGGATCAAGCCCCACATCAAGCTCCTGGCTCAGGGGGGAGTCTGCTTTCCCTTTCCCTCTGCCTCTCCTCCTGCTTGTGTGCTCTCTCTCTCAAATGAATAAATAAGGGGTGCCTGGGTGGCTCAGTCGTTGGGTGTCTGCCTTCGGCTCAGGTCATGATCCCAGGGTCCTGGGATTGAGCCCCGCATCGGGCTCCCTCCTCCGCGGGAGGCCTGTTTTCCCTCTCCCACTCCCCCTGCTTGTGTTCCCTCTCTCGCTGTGTCTCTCTATATCAAAGAAATAAATAAAATTTTTAAAAAAGAATAAAATATTTTTAAAAATTGTCGGTATTTTAAAATATTTTCCAAAGAACAGGTATAATTTTTAAGTTAATTAAAAGACCATGACCTCGGGGCGCCTGGGTGGCTCAGATGGTTAAGCGTCTGCCTTCGGCTCAGGTCATGATCTCAGGGTCCTGGGATCGAGTCCCGCATCGGGCTCCCTGCTCCTTGGGAGACTGCTTCTCCCTCTGCCTCTCTCTCTCTCTCTCATGAATAAATGAATAAAATCTTAAAAAAAAAAAAAAAAAAGACCATGACCTCAATGTGGCAGTTCCTCAAACAATTAACTTTTTAAAAAATTTTATTTATTTATTCATGACAGACAGACAGAGAGAGAGAGAGAGAGAGGCAGAGAGAGAAGCAGGCTCCCCGCAGAGCAGGGAGCCCGATGCAGGACTCGATCCCGGGACCCTGGGATCATGACCCGAGCCGAAGGCAGATGCTTAACCATCTGAGCCACCCAGGCGCCCTATCCTCAAACAATTAAACAAAGAGTTACCATATGACCCAGCAATTCCACTCCTAGGTATATAACCAAGTAAAATGAAAACGGATGTCCACACAAAAACTTGCAAACAAGTGTTTATAGCAGCATCATTCCTAATTGCCAAAACACAGAAAAAATCCAAATGTCCATCAAATGACAAATGGATAAAAATGTCATATATCTATACAATAGAATATTATTCAGCTGTAAGAAAAGAATAAAGCATAGAGGCTTCATCATGCATGAATGTAGAAAACATGATGCTAAGTGAAAGAAGCCAGTCATAAAAGACACAAATTATATGATTTCATTCATATGAAGTATTCAGAACAGGGAAATCTATAGCCAGAAAGTAGATCAGTGGTTGCTTAGGGCTGAGGAAGGGGCAGGGAGTGAATAGGGACATAGCAGCTAAAGGGTATGGGATTTTTTCTAAGGTGATAAAAATGTTCTAAAATTGACTGTGGTGATAGCTGCATGTGTCTATGAAATATATGCTAAATGGGTAAGTTGTATGATATGTGAAATATGTCTCAATAAAGCTGTTAAAAATGAAAGCATGAATAGAATTATGGAGGACTGGGGGAGAGATGAGGTATTTCTCTTGGGACTCTTGGCTCTAAGAACTCTGGAGATGTCCTCAAGTGGCTGGACAACCTCTTTCCTGCTAACTGTATCCACCTCCATCAATAGGCCCACATTGTCTTCAACTTCCAGGCCCATCCTTGGTGCCACACAAAGGATACTGGTATGGCCATTTCCAGGACAAAAAAGAAGCCATACACGTGCTGATTACGCAGCCATTTCTAGACATCTGGTCTACCTGCTACCTGTAGCAGGGCATAGGGCCCATTCCACTCCCTCTAAACTGAGCAATTCCCTTGCCAATCCATCTGGAACCCTGGGACCCCCAACTTCCCTCTATAAGCCCTATCCTTCCAATTCCCCACCTTAGGCAAGTCCAAAGTCCACCTTCTCTTCTCTTGGCCCAGGCTGTCCAAAGTTGACCATTAGGCCTAATATCCATTTCACTTACCTAATCATTATTTTTTGTGTCCTTCAGTAAGTTTTCCATTCTCTTTTTCATTTTAAAGGGGCTGTTGTACTTGCTTATTGAAAAAAACTTGGAAAATTCAGTGAAGTAGAAAAAATAAACCCACCCACATTACAATCACCCAAACACACATTGATTATAAGCCAGGATGGGTGAAGAGGCAGGTGGGACATATATGCACATGGATGAAATCACCAAAATGTCGACATGGTTTCCTGAAAATGTGTAGTAGGGAGTCTCAGACAGGTAGCCCTATACTCGCCTTTGCATAGGGACCATATACCCATTATGGACCAAGAACTGATCTGGCTCCTGAGGGAAAAGTCTCCCACATTTTCTCCTAGACCTTGTGACTAGAAGAATATTTTTTTATGTCTCAGGAGTGGGAAAGTAAGACACAAAACCCAGAAGCACTAAAGGAAAAAAACTGACAGACCTGCCTACTTAAAGGTTACAAACTGGGGCACCTGGGTGGCTCAGCGTCTGCCTTTGGCTCAGATCATGATCCTGGGGTCCTGGGATCAAGCACAGTGTGTCGGTCCCCGTGTGTCGGTTTTCCTGCTCAGCAGGGAGTCTGTTTCTCCCTCTCCCTCAGCCCCTCCCTGCGCTCATGCTCTCTCTCTCTCTCTCAAATAAATAAATAAAATCTTAAAAAAAAATAAAGGTTACAAACTTCTCATATCTAAGATTCCCTAGGCTAAATTAAAGGACAACTGGCAGACTGGAAAAGCATATTTGCAATATACTTAACAAAGATTTTGTGTTCAGAGCCTATGAAGAGCTCCTATAAGTCCACAGAAAGACAAATACAAGCGAAAAATGGGCAAAGAGTATGACTAGAAAAATCACAGGATTCAAATGGCCAATACACATATGAAAAGAAAAATACACACTAACACAGCAGCGAGTTACACTTTCTTCCCTTGGCCTCCAGAAACACCATTCAGCTGTTTTTCATGAATTTCTTGTTAGTCCTTTCTGGAACCCTTAACTTTGGAGAGTCCAGGACCACTGTCCTTGGTCCTCTTTTCTTCTTTGTACACACCCACTCACTTGAAGCCTTATCCAGCCCCAGGTCCTCAGCCCATCCCTCTGGGTCACAGCCTTCCTCTTTGACTAGGCCTCACTCGAGGGATTTTTTTAAAACACCACAATGCATTTATTGTGTTAGGAATATGTCATTGTTATGTGTATGGTGGAGGAGGAGGTTTCAGGGATTCGTGTGTATGTATACTAATATATTTATATACATGACATTATTTCTGTAGATGAAAACACAAACATTGATGCCCGTATGCATGGAAAAGCCCAGAAAGTGGCACACGGAGATATCAGTGTTTATCTATGGATTGTGGGATTACTATCAAATAGATGTAAAAGTGTAATGTTGCTTATAAAAATAATCTAAGTGTGTAACAATAGGCGACACAGATTAGTGTTCATCCATACTTGGAACAATATACAACCATTAAAAAGCATGTTGGCAATATTTTACCGATGTGGCAAAATTCTCATCGCTCGATGCCAGGTAAAACAGCAGGAGATGCCAGATACACAGTCTATACATCTGATGCCAGTTTTATGCAATAAATTTTTACACAGAAAACTGCTTGAGCCTAGAGAAAAGACTGGAAGGAAACGGATCAAAATGTTACCTGCGCATCTCTCCAGGTGCTGGGGTGAAAGGTGATTTTTAGTTTCCTGTATTTTTCAGTGTCCTCAAAGAGCGTGGACTGTTTTTGCTGTAACAAAACAAACCCCACAAAGCACAGTTGTTAGTCTTTATACGCAGCAAATCGCTGCCCACCGGGCGCGGAGGCCGGGCACCGCGCCCCTGCCCGCCGGTCCCCGGACGCCCGAGCGCCGCCGGGTCCAGCGGGCCGCAGCGCCCCCCCGCGGTCGGTCCCAGGCAGCGGGGAGGGGGGGTGGGTGGGCGCGGAGGGCGGGAGGCGGCGCCGGGCGTCCCCGCGCTTCCCGCGAGATCCCGCTCCGCCCGCTCCGCCCCGCTCGCCGCGCTCCCTGCTCCCCGCGCCGCGGCACTTCCTGCCTTCCGCGCCCGCGCCGCCCGCCCTCGCCCGCGCCCGCCGCTTGCCGCCCGCCGCCCGGCGCCGCGCCCGCCGGCGCCCCCGAAGGTGCCCCCGGCCCGGCCGGGTCGCCGCCCCGCCCGCCGCCCCGCGAGCCGCTTTGTCTCGGGCGGGGCGCGCGGGAGAGGCCGCCAGGTGCCCCCCGCCGCGGGCCCGGGCCCCCCGCCCCGGGGCGGCGGCGGTGGCGCCGGGCCCCGGGGCGGGGGGCGCGCCGGGATGGGCCCCAAGCGGCGGCAGCTGACGTTCCGGGAGAAGTCGCGGATCATCCAGGAGGTGGAGGAGAACCCGGACCTGCGCAAGGGCGAGATCGCGCGGCGCTTCAACATCCCGCCGTCCACGCTGAGCACCATCCTGAAGAACAAGCGCGCCATCCTGGCGTCGGAGCGCAAGTACGGTGTGGCCTCCACCTGCCGCAAGACCAACAAGCTGTCCCCCTATGACAAGCTCGAGGGGCTGCTCATCGCCTGGTTCCAGCAGATCCGCGCCGCTGGCCTACCCGTCAAGGGCATCATCCTCAAGGAGAAGGCGCTGCGTATAGCCGAGGAGCTGGGCATGGACGACTTCACCGCCTCCAACGGTTGGCTGGACCGCTTCCGCCGGCGCCACGGTGTGGTGTCCTGCAGCGGGGTGGCCCGCGCCCGGTCGCGCAGTGCTGCCCCCCGGGCCCCAGCGGCTCCCGCCAGCCCGCCGGCGGTGCCCTCGGAGGGCAGCGGCGGGGGTTCGACGGGCTGGCGCGCTCGGGAGGAGCAGCCGCCGTCGGTGGCCGAGGGCTACGCCTCCCAGGACGTGTTCAGCGCCATCGAGACCAGTCTGTGGTACGACTTCCTGCCCGACCAGGCTGCGGGGCTGTGCGGCAGCGATGGACGGGCACGCAGGGCCACCCAGCGCCTGAGTGTCCTGCTGTGCGCCAACGCAGACGGCAGCGAGAAGCTGCCCCCGCTCGTGGCCGGCAAGTCGGCCAAGCCCCGCGCAGGCCAAGCCGGCCTGCCCTGCGACTACACCGCCAACTCTAAGGGCGGTGTCACCACCCAGGCCCTGGCCAAGTACCTGAAGGCCCTGGACACTCGCATGGCCGCGGAGTCTCGCCGAGTCCTGCTGCTGGCGGGCCGCCTGGCTGCCCAGTCCCTGGATACCTCGGGCCTGCGGCATGTACAGCTGGCCTTCTTCCCGCCGGGCACCGTGCAGCCGCTGGAGCGGGGAGTGGTCCAGCAGGTGAAGGGCCACTACCGCCAGGCTATGCTCCTGAAGGCCATGGCCGCGCTAGAGGGCCAGGATCGCTCGGGGCTGCAGCTGGGGTTGATGGAGGCCCTGCACTTCGTGGCCGCCGCCTGGCAGGCAGTGGAGCCTTCGGACATCGCTGCCTGCTTCCGCGAGGCCGGCTTCGGCGGTGGCCCAGATGCCGCCATCACCACCGCCCTCAAGAGTGAGGGGGAGGAAGAGGAGGACGAGGACGAGGAGGAAGAAGAAGAGGAGGAAGAGGAGGAGGAGGGTGAAGGGGAGGAGGAGGAGGAGGAAGAAGAAGAAGGCGAGGAGGAGGAGGAAGGGGGGGAAGGAGAGGAGTTGGGGGAGGAAGAGGAGGTGGAAGAGGAGGGTGATGTTGATGACAGTGAGGAGGAGGAGGAGGAAGAGGAGGAAGAGAGCTCCTCTGAGGGGTTGGAGGCTGAGGACTGGGCCCAGGGGGTAGTGGAAGCTGGTGGCAGCTTCGGGGGCTACAGTGCCCAGGAGGAGGCCCAGTGCCCTACCCTCCATTTCCTGGAGGGCGAAGAGGACTCTGAGTCTGACAGTGAGGAAGAGGAGGAAGATGAGGAGGATGAAGATGATGAAGATGATGAGGATGACGAGGAGGATGGTGATGAGGTGCCCGTGCCCAGCTTTGGGGAGGCCATGGCTTACTTCGCTATGGTCAAGAGGTACCTAACTTCCTTCCCCATTGACGACCGAGTGCAGAGCCACATCCTTCACTTGGAACACGATCTGGTCCACGTGACCAGGAAGAACCACGCCAGGCAGGCGGGAGTTCGGGGTCTTGGACATCAAAGCTGAGCCACTGGGCCTAGTCCTGCCCGACCCGGATGTGGCAGCACCAGCCCAGGGCAGAGGACTCTCCGGGCAGCCGCTGTGGATGGAGCCAAGAGTGGGGAGCTCCAGAGCCTTTAGTGATGTTCCTCGGGCCCTGTGACAGGCCCAGCCACCTCGGTAGGGTCCGGGGCTGGCGTCAGCCTCACTGCCTGCTTATTGCCTCTTTCTCAGAGTCCTCTTTCCTCCCCATTTGCCCCTGGGCGTAGGGGACCAGGTGGGGAGGGTGGGGAGCTGTCCGGTGCTACCACACCGTGCCATCAGTGGACTAGGCCACAGGAGCAGCCAGGGATGGGCCCTGGAAGCTCCCGGCCGGAGAGTGCCTCTCCCCTCTGCCGTCCACACCAGGTCTTTGGTGGGGGGGACCCCAAAGCCATTCTGGGAAGGGCTCCAGAGGAAGGTCCAGCCTAGGCCCCCACAAGGCTGGCAGCCCCCTACCCCTGCCCCTGGGCCGCCTTGAGAAGCACAGTCTAACTCACCGCAGGCTCCTGAGCCTGCCTCTGCCTGCTTCCCCATCTTCCCAGTCCCTTTCTCTGGCCCAGTCCAGGTTACTTTGGCCCTTGGTTTTCTTTCCAGATTGGAGGTTCCCAAGAGGCCCTCCAGGGGAGTGATAATGGGCACTTCCCTTGTGGGTAGCCGCAGGCCCCATGCCTCTCCTCCCTCTCTGGCAGGGCCCTATCCTGGGCAGGGGGCCTGGGGCTGGGCCCGTAGTCCAGCCATCCAGCCACTCCTTTCCCAGTCTGAATTCAATAAATCCGTCCACTCCCCTTTTGTGGGGGTGAACGTTTTAACAGCCAAGGGTGCATCCTTCATGGTCTGGGCTTGCGTCTGTCTTGGGAACACGTCCTTCCCTGGTTCCCTTTGGTCCTTGTTCTGGTGGGACATGGAACCAAGTGTTGAAGGGGTAGCCGCAGCTTTGGCCCTGACTGGGGCGAGGGGCCACCTCCATATCTAAATATTATCTAGGCTTGGGGAGGAAAGGGTTTTCAACGTACCTGCTTGGGTTTGAAGAAAGCCGGGTCTTGCACTGCTTTGGGGTTAGAAAGAAGCTTGGGGTCAGTTAGCTAGGAGAGGAGGGAGGGAGCCAACTATCTCTGTTGGGCCAAATTAAACTGGGAACTAGGCCTGTCGAGCCCATTAAAGAAGGTCCTTGCAGGAGTGGGGCCAGAGGACAGAGCAGGAGGGGTGCTGGGGCAACTTCTGTGGTCCAGGTTGGAGTCTGGAGGGACATACAGGGCATCCCTTGGTTTACCTTTGATGCCTTAAGAGGGAGCCCTTTAGACCTTCCCGTGTTTGGCATCTCCAAGCCTGGTGGCTATCCTGGGGACAGTGGCAGGAGGAAGATAAAATTCCTGGGATAGACTGCACCTGCAAGAGGCTGGGGGCACCCCAGTCCAAAGGTGAAGACTGGTGTCTCTGCTGATCCTACCCCTTTTCTCCTTTCCCGGCCCAGCCCCTCCCTCATTGAGGCCCTCAGGCCCCAGCGATTCCAGCCAGGGGAGGGCTTGGGCTTGAGGAGGCCGGGCAGCTCTGGGCCCCAAACCGGTTTTCCCACCTCCCCTGGGGCTGGCACATCGCCGCCGCTGTGGTTCCCTCCCCACCACTTCCTTTCAGTTCCTCTCTCCACCCTGGAATGTTAAGCGGGGGATGTCTAGGTCTTTTGTCCCTTGCCTGCCCTGGGTGTGGTCTCTTCTAGAAAGGCAAGGCCACTATGTATGACTTTAAAACAAGAAGGTAGGGTGACACTTCCACACTTGGCCTTCCACACTCCCGGCACTCAGATTTACCCTGTAGGCCTTGAAGACAGTGAAACTAAGGGATAGCAAAAAGGAGTTGGGATTCTCCTTACCGTCATCCCCCATCTCCATCTGAGCTGTGGAGGAGGAAACAAGAAAGTCTTAAGGAAGCTCAGCCTACCCCCGCCACCGCCCCCCGCCCCGCCTGCTCTGGAGTAAGGGGGGAGCAGTAGTCTTCTCCCTGTTCAACTCGGTCCCTCACCTCAAATACCAACAAGGCAAATCATTTCCATTTGTCTCCTCTTCTGCTGGAACTGAGGTCATCTCGTTAATGATAGCACCAACTGATGTTAATAGGGCCCTTGCTATGTGCCAAGTGCTGTGCTAAGCACTTTAGGTGCTCACAATTCCCCTATAAGGTAGGTAAAACCATGAGAAAACAGGCACAAAGAGGTCCAGTAATGTGCCCAAAGCCACATTGCTAGTCTTTGGTGGAAGCAAGCTTTCTTCTCTGGCTGACCCTAGAAGTGCCTCTTTACTGCTACTCTGTGTCCCTTCACTAAGGAAGGACCCATATCCCTAACCCTTCTACATGGAGTGCTCTTTTGAAATGGAACTGGCTACTGAAATCCATTTCTAACCCATGGAAGAATAGCTCTTTGGAGGGAGATGAGGGCTTGTAGAAGTGTCTACAGGAGCTCCCCAAGCTTTTACTCCCATACCCCCAGTCCCCATACAAATGCAGATCTGTAAATACGCTTCCCATTTTCCTCCCTACTACCCCATTGGGACAAATAGGCGAGAACCATTCCCACTTCACAAAGGAGGAAATAGGGTTAAGTAGTTAAATAACCTGCCCAAGGCACTGGCCTTGAGCCCTAGTATTCTCCCTGGGAATCTGGGTGACATACTAAATGCCCTACCAGGACACTGCTGGGAAGGGCAGTAGCAGTGAGGGCCCTAATAGCACAGAGCTCTGAGGAGGGACCTAGCAAGGTGGCACTGTCACACAGCCTATCACACAATCCAGGTGGGAAGCAGCTGATGATTAACAGTGGACGCCCAGATAAAGCTGACAAACACTGGGATGCTGCCTTCACTTGGGACTGATCGCTAAAGGATCCAGAAGGGGAATCCCAGCCCTGGGGAGGCTGGTGCAGGGATTCTGAGGGCCTGGTTGGCTTTGACAGGTTTCAGAGTGGGCCGGTGGCTAATCAGGTGGCGTTGGGCGCAGATACTGGGAAGACAAGGCCATCTAAACGCCTTTTCAAAGCTGGGGCCTGAGAGTAAGTAGAGAGAGAAAACTACAACTCCCAGAAACCCCTGCTCCCCGCCCCGCCAAGGATAGTTGCTATGGTTTCAGAAAACAATATGGCTGCTCCCAGCTGGGAGGAGAATCTCTGGATGGGAGAGGCAGAGGCAGGTCTGGTCGCCCTCAGTGGCGAGAGAAGAGGCGCCTGAGGTTGGGGCTGGACGCTGCACGGCTGGAACGGCCTTGCCTTGCCGAGGGTGCCGATGGCGGGCAGCGTGGACGAGGAGGCGCTGCACCAGCTCTACCTGTGGGTAGACAACATCCCTCTGTCCCGACCCAAGCGAAATCTCTCCAGGGACTTCAGTGACGGAGGTGTGCACCTCAGTATGTGTGCGCTCCTGTGTGTCTGTCCCGTGTGTCCGTGTTTGTTGACATGTTCTGTCCTGTATGTACGTGTGTAAGGGGTCTGTATACATATGTCTCTTTGTGCTTCTGTGCGTTTGGGTATGTGTGTGTTGGGGGGTGTCTGACTATCTCTTAGAACTTCAGTTATGTGTGTGTGTGTGTGTTTCTATCTGTATCTGTGGGAATATGAGTATGTGTGTGTCCATATGTATGTCCCCTTGTTCTATCCTTTATGCATGTGTGGTGGTGATGATGGTGTGTGTCTGAGTGTGTGAGTCTGTGACTCCCTCCTGAGACTTTAATGACTAAGATGTGTATCTGTGTATGTTTTTGTGCTTCTCTCTGTGTGTACCTGTTCATTGCTGTATTCTATATATCTGCCTTGTGGGAGTCTGAGCATGTGTATGTTCATACGTTTGTTGATATGTTCTGTCTTGTATGCATGTAGGGGGTCTTATGTGCATATGTGTTTCTTTGTGATTATTAGGTGTCTGTGTGTCTAAGGCTGTCTCCTGAGATTTTAATGGCAGAAATATGCGTCTCTGTCTGGTACATTGTTGCCTATGTGACTTATTGTGCTTGTGTGTGTTGGTGACTATCTCCTGGAACTTCAGTGATGGAAACATGTGTCTGTGTATGTGTTTGTGCATCTCTGTGTGTTGTATGTGTGTGTGCTATATGTGGGCCTGTGTATGTATGGGCATGTTTGTGTCCTGTGTGTCTACACACTTTATCCTATGTGCATATCTGTAGGGGGATCTAATCACATGTGTCTGCTTGTGTGAATCTGTGACTCTTTCTTGGGACTTTGGTGTTGGAGTGTGTGCGTGCGTATCCGTGTAAATGACTAGGGTGGGCCCCCAGGCCCCTGATGGGCTCTCTTGGAGACTCATTCTCTACTAGAGGACCAGAGACCTTAGTTTTCATATGCCTGAGCTGATGGGGATGGGATGCCACACCTCTGGGGTATGCTGGAAGCTGATCATTGATTTCTGATCTTGCTTTCTTGAATCCCTTTCCCTCTCCTCCACCACCCCTCCCTCCCTATCATCCTTTTCCTTTCCACATCACCTCTGTGCTTGGCCCCACCACTCTGCAACCCTTGATTCTTCCATCCCATGCACATATTCTCCCTACTCCTTTTCCCTTACCCGCCCCCCCCCCCCCCCGTCCATGTCTGTTCCCATTCCCTCAGTCCTGGTTGCAGAAGTCATCAAGTTTTACTTCCCCAAGATGGTGGAGATGCACAATTATGTCCCTGCCAACTCCCTCCAACAGAAGCTCAGCAATTGGGGTCACCTAAACAGGTAGCAGAATGCCTGGTGCACTACCGGAATCTCCATCCCCTACCCCAACCCCGGGATCCCAGGAAGGACTGCCCCAGCACGACCCCCCCCCCCCCCCCCCCCCGCCCCACACTTCCTATGGTCTCCAAAGCCCGGGCTGGGATTCTGTTGGTGGCAGGGTAGGGAGGGACAGCGCAGTCAGAATCCGGTAACAAAATCAAGGGATTCTTTTAATGGGGAGAGACAAGGAAACAGGACACCCCAGAATCGGGTTCATTCCCCCAGGGCTGCACCACTTCCTTCTCCTCCACGCCCCTCACTTCATACCCCCGAGACCCAGTCCGCCATCCCGGTGCCTATCTCCCAGGAAGGTGCTGAACAAACTGAACTTCTCGGTACCGGAGGATGTGATGCGCAAGATCGCGCAATGCGCGCCGGGCGTGGTGGAGTTAGTGCTCATTCCGCTGAGGCAGCGCCTGGAGGAGCGGCAGAGGCTCAGGAAGCAGCGCACCAGCTCCTTACAGGTGCCACCCCACTCAAGCTTCTCCCACTGCTTTGCGGGAGCTTCCCAGGCGGCAGGAAACCCCGCCTTGCCGATAGATGTGGGGGAAGGGTGTCTGGCAAAGGGAGCCTGGCCTTGGGGACCAAGGAAGAGACATGGGGCTCCTTGGGGATGAGCGAGCCTGACCTCACAGTCAACCCTGGGGCTTCTTTCAGGAGCTGGCTCCCCAGGATGGCACTGGCTACGTGGATGTGGGTAAAGTGGTCTTTACTTGTCTTCCCTCCCAGGAGCAGCTTTCCTTCTGTCCTACCTGTGGGGGAAGGGAGGGAGGGAGAAGGCAGGAAAATAGGACTCCAGCACGGCCAACCCCTTCACTTGCCTCCTCTCAGGTTTGTCCCAGAAGGCCCGAGGGGAAGGTGCCCCAGACCCCCAGGGAGGGGGGCAGCTCAGGTAGGGAAGCTGGGAGTTCCTATCTCCCCAGGCCTGGTGATCCCCCAATACAGGGCTGGCAGGTAAGGGTGGGGGCAGGCTGTTCCTGGGAAGCAGGAACGGGGGTTGGGGGGGAAGGGAAGGCCTGGCCGAGGGGCATTGGAAGGGTGAGCGTGGCGCCCCAGGTCCGGGCCTCCGCTAAGCTGCTTCCCACCCCAGGGGGGGCCGGCCGCCCGCGCCCCGGCCTCCGGGATATAGCCAGGCAGTGCAGGGCGACCCAAGCTTCGTCCTCCAGATCGCTGAAAAAGAGCAGGAGCTGTTGGCCTCGCAGGAGACCGTGCAGGTGAGGGTGACTGGGAAGGCGCGGGCGGTGGTGGGGCAGTGGGGGCTTAGGGCCTGCACGGGTGGGGACAGAGGGCAGCAGGCCGCTGACTTCGCCTCTGTGCCTCATGGCCCAGGTCCTGCAGATGAAGGTGAGGCGCTTGGAGCACTTGCTTCAGCTCAAGAACGTGCGCATCGACGACCTCTCCCGGCGGCTCCAGCAGGCAGAGCGTAAGCAGCGGTGAGCGGCTGCCCGGGCCGCGCGGGGACGCCCCAGTACCCGCCAGAGCCCAGACACCGCGACCGACGCACCCACCGACCTACTGACGGACGATTGGGCGGGCAGAGCCAGCAGCTCCAATGAGCCTCCTGGGGAGCCAGCGCACCCTCCCTTGGGATGAGGGCGAATATGGGGGCAGGGGCAGTGAGGCAGGCGCCTTCAGAGCAGAGCCCCTGGACTGAGCCACCTCCTTCCACTCCACCCGGGTCAGGAAAATGGACCGCTTTCCAGAACCCAGAAGCCACGTGCAGAGACCTCTCATGTTCCCCAAAGCGGTGCCCAACACCAGGGACTCCGCCTTGGTGCTCCCTGCCCTGGGCCTTGGGGGGCGGTGCCCCGGCTCGGTCCACACCCCTAGAAACAGGTCCCAGCCCAGCTCTGAGGACCGCGGCATCTCCATCCAGCCTAGTTCTCTGTGCTCTGGGCCGTGGGGAAAGCTGCCCCAGGCAGCTGAGGGTGACCCTTGCCTTTCCTGGGAGCTCATCTGGGACCCAACTCGAGGATGGAGAACACAGCAGCTGGAGAAGAAGGGGTGAGGAATAGGTTCAGCCGGGAGTGGGGAAGACATGGGCTGTGTCTGTCCCAATCACCCTCCCCTCCTGTGGGGGGACCTTTGAGAATGCTTGGGAGATATGGGATCACACTGCCCCCATTAAAGAAATTGTGCTATCTTTCCAGCAACTGCCTTCTCTCTGTCCAGATTTTTTGCCCCTCTTAATGCTGCACTCCCCCACCACCCCCCTTTTGAGTGAAAGAGCCTTGTAGGCCCAGAGTGGGTCTCACCTTGTGGGCACCTGGTCCCTGGGTGGCCACTGCCTGGTAGGTTGATGATATCACAGGGGTTAGATCTTGTGCACTAGAACAGCCTGACTTTTAACTCTGGCCTTAGACTGACCCCCAAACCCACCCTCACAGAATCCCAACACTGTCCAAACCCAACTCCAAACCTAGGCTTCACATTCTCCCCAAGTGTAAACACACCCTCACACTCACCCTCAACCCTGTCCATGGAGTGACCCCCAAATCTGTCCTCTGTATGACTCCCAACCCCGCTGACAGACTGTTCCCTAATTCTATGGACTGAAGCCAAGCTTGACTCTCAACCTGACCAAGACACTCTGGCCATGATGTGACCCTGATAATTTACTGACTACTAGTAACATTCAGAGACCCCACAATTCTATTCCTACACATATATTCAGCATATACCTCGGGGAAACTTAAGCTCTTGTGTTCTGTATTCTGCCACACCTGTATAGCAATGTTCATAGTGACATTCTCTGTAATAGAAAATAATTGAAAATAACTTGTATTAGTGTCTATCATGTGTAAGAAATTACCACAAACTTAGTGGCTTTAAACAGCACACACTTATTATCTCATATATTCTGTGGATCAAGAGTCCAGGCATGGCCGAGCTGGGTCCTCTGCTTCAGAGTTTCTCCTAAGGCTGCAATCAAAGTGTTGGCTAGAGCTGTGGTTTCATCTGAAGTCTTGACTGGGGAAGGATTCACTTCCAAGTTCACTTGGTTGTTGACAGAGTTCAGTTCTTTGTGGACTGTTGGACTGAGGGTTTCATTTTCTTGTTGGTTGTTGGCTGGTGCTGCCCTCCTTTCCTTCCCATGTGGTCACATCCAGTAAGTATGCTAGCTTACTTCACCAAAGCCAGCAAAGGAGAGAGTTAACAGAGTCTGCTAGCAAGATGGCAGTTGCAATCTTATCTAATGTAATCACAGAAGTGACATCCATCACATTTGTTGTATCCTATTTATTAGAAGTAAGTCATGAGGGGGCGCCTGAGTGGCTCAGTCGTTGAGTGCCTGCCTTCAGCTCAGGTCATGATCCTAGGGTCCTGGGATCGAGCCCCGCATCAGGCTCCCTGCCCAGTGGGAGGCCTGCTTCTCCCTCTTCCTCTCCCACTCCCCTTGCTTGTGTTTCCTCTCTCGCTGTGTCTCTATCTGTCAAATAAATAAATAAAATCTTTATTAAAAAAAAAAGAAGTAAGTCATGAGGTCCAGCCCACATTCAAGCGGAGAGGTACATGTGGGTGTGAATACCAGGAGACAGGGATCATTGGGGGCCATTTTAGAAGCTGTCTACCACAGGGAGGAAAAAGCAATAAAAAGATAAAAGCTAGAATAGTGGTTACCTCTGAGAGGAAGTGGAGGGCAGAGATGCAAGAAGCACATGAGTTATTTGTAATGTTTTAGTCCTTGGGCAGGTGGTGGGTTTACAGATGTTCCTAGTGGGCTGTTTAAGGACAAGCAGGAGAGTGTCATGAACTAAGGAGTATGTGCAGTCCAATTCTGTTTACCTGAGTTCCTCAAATAATAAATAAACATAAAAATTGATGACTACTCCTGACCTTGGTCTGAGCCTGCACTCAGCCTGGTCTTAGGTTAACACTGGTGTCAGCCTGATCTTCTACTTTCCCCCAATTTTTTTTTAAAGATTTTATTTATTTATTTGACAGAGAGAGACACAGCAAGAGAGGGAACACAAACAGGGGGAGTGGGAGAGGGAGAAGCAGGCCCCCCCCCAAGGAGGGAGCCCGATGCGGGGCTCGATCCCAGGACCCTGGGATCACGACCGGAGCCGAAGGCAGACACCAAATGACTGAGCCACCCAGGTGCCCCCCTTCCCCAAATTAACCACCAGCCCTCACACATATTGATCCCAGCTCTAGCACTGTTTTCTTGCTATTGTCTGCATGGAGTCTCCAGAGTTCTATTCTCTGAATCCATCGTCATGGACCACACCTGTAGACTCCTGTGTGTGCAGCTGGTAGGAATGGTTTGTAGAGGGGCTTGGGGTCAAGGAGGTGGGGTAGGGCATGGTTCTACCTGACAGAAGCACGGTAGGCTCAGAGTACAGGTTTGGTGGCAGGGGTCACCCCCTCAAGAGTCTGCTGGCTCCCTCCATGGCAGAGGCTGGGCCAAGTCCTAGAGGAACTCCTCTTCCTTGAGTTCCTCCCCCAACCCCAGCTATTCCTAGTTTTCAGATATGCCTGAATCTAAAATCATATTTGACACCCTAAAATTAAATCCCCAAAACAATGGAGAATTTTATTGAATGTTTCTTGGGAATAAATATGAAAGTGGATTACATCACACATTATAATACTATAACTCTTATTTTTTAAAAATATTTTTATTTATTTATTTGACAGAGAGAGAGAGACCGCAAGAGAGGGAACACAAGCAGGGGGAGTGGGAGAGGGAGAAGCAGGCTTCCCGCTGAGCAGGGAGCCCCATGCGGGGCTTGATCCCAGGACCCTGGGAGCATGACCTGAGCTGAAGGCAGACGCTTAACGACTGAGCCACCCAGGTGCCCCTCCTATAACTCTTCCTGAAACATCCCTCTTGTTCCCCAAACTTCCCCTCTGACAGCCATTGCCATATTTCTCCCCCTCTGATCCTCACACTCCTCTCCCTTTTCTGACCCACACTAAATCTGATTTCTTCTGGTTTATTCATTCATTCACTCATTCATTCCTCAAATGTTTATTTAGTGCCGACTATGTACTAAATGCCACACAAAGATGAGTATAAAACATGATTTGTCTCCCCAAGTGTTCACAATCCTAGGAGAAGGCATGCAAAGTGATACTTAAAATTTTTTGTTACTCAATGTTTTAAATAGATAAAACACACATAATTAAAACACGTATAAAAAGTAAAATGTCTCGGGCGCCTGGGTGGCTCAGATGGTTAAGCGTCTGCCTTCGGCTCAGGTCATGATCCTGGAGTCCCGGGATCGAGTCCCGCATCGGGCTCCCTGCTAGGCGGGGAGCCTGCTTCTCCCTCTGCCTCTGCGTCTCTCTCTCTCTCTGACTCTCATGAATAAATAAATAAAATATTAAAAAGTAAAATGTCTCATTGGTGCCCACACAACCCCAGTAGGGTTAACCTTTTTTTTTTTTTTAAAGATTTTATTTATTCATTTGAGAGAGAGAATGGGAGAGAGAGAGCACGAGATGGGGGAGGGTCAGAGGGAGAAGCAGACTCCCCGCTGAGCAGGGAGCCCGATGCGGGACTCGATGCGGGACTCGATCCAGGGACTCCAGGATCATGACCTGAGCCGAAGGCAGTCGCTTAACCAACTGAGCCACCCAGGCGCCCAGGGTTAACCTTTATCTTTAGTTTTTGTGCATTCTGCCAGAATGTCTTTTTGTGAATACAAGCAAATATGCACTTTTATTGTTATTCTGCACCCCCTCTTTTTTTTTTTTACCCTAAAGGGCAAGCATACTACCCACTCTGTCCTGTATCTTGATTTCCACTCAATATGATCTCTTATAGATATGTGACGGTCAATGTTATGCTAGCTTGACTGGGCCACAGGATGCCCAGATATTTAGTCAAACATTCTGTGAGGGTGTTTTCAGATGAGATTAGCATTTAAATTTAAAGGTAGACTGAGTTAAGCAGATTGCTCTTCCTAGTATCGGTGGGACTCATTCAATAAGTTGAAGGCCTGAATAGAATAAAAAAGGATGTCTCTTGGGGGTGCCTGGGTGGCTCAGTTGTTAAGTGTCTGCCTTCGGCTCAGGTCATGATCCCAGGGTCCTCGGATCAAGCCCCACATCGGGCTCCCTGCTCTGTGGGAAGGCTGCTTCTCCCTCTCCCTTTCCCCCTGCTTGTGTTCTCTCTCTTGTTGTGTCTCTCTCTGCCAAATAAATAAAAAATCTTAAAAAAAAAAAAAAGGATGTCTCTTCCCTGAGTAAGAGAAAATTTCTTCTTGATGGCCTTTGAACTGGGACATTGGTTTTCCCTGCCTTTAGACTCTAGCTGAAATATCAATTCTTCCTGTGTCTTGAGCCTATCAGCCTTTGGATTTGCCTCTCCTAGGTTCCAACTTGCTGACTCATTCTGTAGATCTTGCAACTTGGCAGTCTCTCTCATCAGATGAGCTAATTACTTCTTATAAATCTCTATCTGTATCACTTGTATCATCTGTCTCTATATTATCTCCTTTTACTTTCTCCAGAGAACCTCAACTAATACAAGATTTTTCCATATCAATACATTGAAAACTTCCTGTTTTTTTTTTTTTTTTTTTAAGATTTTATTTGACAGAGAGAGCGAGAGAGGGAACACAAGCAGGGGGAGTGGGAGAGGGAGAAGCAGGCTTCCCGCAGAGCAGGGAGCCCGATGTGGGGCTCGATCCCGGGACCCTGGGATCATGACCTGAGCCAAAGGCAGACGCTTAATGACTGATCCACCCAGGTGCCCCGAAAACTTCTTGTTTTTAAAGTCATATAAAATTCTATTGTCTGTAAAAATGTAATTAATCGGTTCTCTATCTGGACATTTAAGTTGTTTCTAACTTTCTGTTATTAATAACAATACAGTAACAATGAATAACTTCATACATTTATAGTTAAGTATTCTTTGCAAGTATATCTGCATGACCAATGCCAGAAGTGGGTTTGTTAAGACGAAGAATATGTGCATTTCTGATCTTGATATTGTGAAATTTCCTCCACAAGGGCATGGTTCAGAGCAGAGGCTGAAGACTGGTGGCCCATTGCCCTGCTTTGGTTTGCACAGTGTCATGTTTTTACTAAACTAACTGCTAATTTTTGTATTGATGAGGATGTGAGGCAACTGGAACTCTTGTACTCCACTGATGGAGTATGAGTACAACCATTTCAGAAAGCAGTTTGGCAATTTCATATGAAATTAAACATACCCCTATGCTATTGTATCAGTTAGGGTTTAATTGCAGAAGCGAAAAGGATTTGTTACAGGAATTTGACTTTGGGTAATTGTCAAACAGTCTCTGTAAAACTGTTGTTTTACATCTGATGCTGGAGCTTAAAGTCCCCAGGTCAGATCATTGGGAGGGAAAGATGGATATAAAGTGGGGGAGAGAAAGGACAAGCTGGAATCATGAGCATAAGATGGAACCTTTGATGACAAACTGGAACTCGTGTTGGTTCTCACTACCTCCAAACTTGATGATGTGGGTGTCCTGCAGGTGAGGCCGGTGCCCTCTGTTATCGGGCCCAAGAGTCAAAGAAACTGAAGAGGGATCCAGGGAAAAGGGGAGTAGGTGCAATCCTGACTGTTATCCCAGTTCAACGACATGAGCCAGCAGATCAGTAACAAAGTTTATGGGCTACAAACCTCCTGCCTAGATTTTGCAAGTGTACCAATACATCCACTGCTTTTCTTCCACCCTCCAAATCTCATGCAAAAATGCCTGTTGTGGCCCACCCTAATTGGAAGGGAATTCTGGGAAGTGTAGTTCACCATAGCTAAGTTGATACATTATAAAGCTCCAACAGCTATGTTCCAGCAATTTCATTCCTCAATCTATCCCCAGGAGAAATACATATGTATGCTTACGAAGACAGGTACTAGAATATACAATACAGTTTATACTATTTTGGGGCACAGCTTCTTTTGCTCAATATTGTCTGTAAGAATCATTCATGTTGCTGCATGTATTCAGTAGAGGTTGTTCTTCGTCATCATTGCTATATAATAGGCCATTGTATGAATACAGTACGGGTTTTTAAAATTCATTCTATTGTTGGTGGACACTTAGGTCATCTTCAGTTTGGGGTTATTACCAATGATGCTGCTATGAATATTTGTATACACGTCTTTTGGTATGTAACCAAACCAGTAGATTGCTGGGTCAAAGCGTTGGCATTTTAAGCTTTATTAGATACTGCCCAGAAGTTTTCCAACAAGGTTACAGTTGTTTAATTTTTATTAAAAAGAGTAAGAGTCCATAATACCATGTGTTTGGAGCTGGAATGGATGTTTTACAGGTGTTCAATCTGTTCTCCCAAACTGGAGTTGTTCTTAATTCCTTCCCATACAGCCCCAATCTCCAGGGAGTCTGTGGCTTCCCTCAAAGCTCTGTTAAGGCCCTCTACACAGGAAGTCCCAGGGCCTGGGCACCACTCTGATGTTTAGCATCTCTTCTTGGTACACAGACCCATTGAACTGCAATGGGGCAGCCATGTACCCTTTTTTTTTTTTTTTTAAGATTTTATTTATTTATTTGAGACAGAGAGAATGAGATACAGAGAGCATGAGAGGGAGGAGGGTCAGAGGGAGAAGCAGACTCCCTGCCGAGCAGGGAGCCCGATGCGGGACTCGATCCCGGGACTCCAGGATCATGACCTGAGCCGAAGGCAGTCGCTTAACCAACTGAGCCACCCAGGCGCCCAGCCATGTACCATCTAATCTAGCTTCCTCCCGGCACAAAGAATCACATTTTCTCCTGGAAGCTTTTCAGAACCATCTGCACTTACTGTGGCCTTGGGGCCTTCCCTGGGAGCCTGTAGTCTCCCCCAGGCATGGACAGCTCTGTATTGCAGGTCCTTCCAATTGGCTAGTCAGCGAGACTGCCCAGCACTTAGGAGTGTGAGGAGTGTTTGGCAGGGACAAGAAACCACAGCTTTTTGTGTGTGCTGTACTTCCCATCCTGAACTGCGAGTACCTGTGACTCCAGAGCCTAGCACAGTAACTTGCTCACCATATACACTTAGTAAATATTTGTTTAAAGGAGTTGACAGTTAGGAAATGGCCCCAGGCAGTGCCCAGTTAGCAGCCAGTCTCTGTGTTTGAAAGAGCCCACACCAGGGAGAGTTTTGAAGAGAGTTGTCTAGAAAGACCTTAAAACTTGGTCTTGAAGGGAGGGTGAGTTTTGCCTATGAGGAGAGTGGGAAGGGCATTCTACGTAAAAAGGTAGCATAAGGAGGGTATCAGGAAATCAATGTCTGCACAGACTCAGAAGGTAAAATCAATGTGAGAAAATAGGGATTGGTGGGGACATCAGCAAGTTGATGTGCAGCCTCTGGTGCCAGGTTAGAATGTGAGTCCATGTAGTTAGATCTGATATTTCAAAAGGGCAATGAGAAAGAGGAGGAAGAGGAAAAAGAGGAAGAGGGAGAGAAGAAAAAGGGAGAGGAGGAAGAAAAAGAGAAGAGGAAGAATTAGAATTTTAAAAAGTCCTGTGTGGGCTAAACAAAATATATTTGTAGCCTGCTTTGGGCCCACTGTTTGCCAACTTTCGACGTTGAAGAATAGAATAGACATGGGAATGCAATTTTTTTTTGGTTGGGAGAGCATAGTGGGGCACATGGAATGGTGGGGCTGGGTAGTTAGAAAGCATCTGGCAGAAGTGGATGGGCTGGGATCAGAATGTGGAAATCTCCCAATGCCCAACGCTGGAGGGTAGTATCTCAAACGCCAGAGTGCGCACGAATCACCCAAAATGCTTCTAAAAAGTTTGTGAAGCTCTGCTGGAGACAGTCCCAGCGCACGGAGGTTTTGGAGCAGGGGAAGGTGTGATGGAAACAATAGCTTAGGAAGATTAATTTGCCAACAGTGAGGAGACCAGACACCATGGCGTAGGTTAGGGACCACAGGGATCCAGTGGAGGATAGGAGCCTTGGACCGAGGTCCTTCTAAAAGGAAGCCGATCCTCAGCCCCGCCATACCATCTCTCCCCTAGTTACATTGATCGTAAGGAGGGAACTTCGTGCAACGGATGGCTCCCCGCAGGCAGTTTAGGGACCCTGTCACGGCCTGTGAAACGGGGGAGGGGGGACTGTTCTTCAAGGACCGCCGGGCGGCCGGCGACTAGAATTCCTAAAAGACCCTAGGGCCACGCCTCTCGCTCCCGGGCTCTGCGCAGGTGCCCACACCCCACCCCGCGACGCTGAGCTAGGCGCCTCCCGCTGCCATGGCGACCGCCTCCATGGAGACCAGGAGCCGAGGCTGCGGTCCCCCGAGGCTCATCCCGCGTGCCTTCTTTGTTCTGATGCTTATTCGGGCCGGCCGGGCTCCCAGGACGCGTTTCGAGTCAGCGCGAGAGCGCTTCCTCCGAGGAGGGGGATGAGTGGAAGGGGAGGAGGCTGAAACCCGGAGGTTGCTGCGTGGGAAGGATGGCGGGTTCCTCAGCTCCGGAACAGGACCTAGCGAGGAGCATATCGATTGTCGTTGCGGGCCTGGAAGCCTAAGGAGAAAGGCGACCTTCAGGTGCCCGCCCCACTATCTCTGAGTCCCGCCTTACGGCCGCTCGAGGAAACAGAAGCCAGGAGAGCCCCCTTCCGAGTTGGGGCCCAGGCGGGAGGTGCAAACTCTACAGTTGAAGTTGAGACGCGGGCGGAAACTATTCGAGACGCTCCTCCTTTCTTCTCCCCTTTCTGGCCCACGCTAGCCCCGTGCCACGCCGGGCGGCCCGGCTGCCTTCATCGCGAGAACTCGCTGAGCCGTGGGTAGGTGTGGGCTAGTCTGGCGCAGCCGCGGGCCCCTTGCACGTGACACAGTGGCGCAACGCTTGTTGGCGGTTCTCTGGTGCCGGCTTATTGGTCGGAAGCGTCCTCGCCCCACCCCCTCAGTCGGCCAATGGGCGGAGGTGGGGGGCGTGCCCGTGAGGCGGGCGGCGGCGGTGGCGGCGCGGGGGTCCCTCCTCGTGCTCGGCGTTGAGCCCCCGCTGCCGCCGCGACCGCCACGGCCGCCGCCGCGGTGGACCCTGCCCGACCAGCCCCGGGGTGCTCCCTGCACGGTGAGACTGCTTCTCCTCCCGACATCTCCCGGTTTCTCTCCGCTCGCCGGGATCCCCTCCCGTCCTAGGCAGTCGGTAACTGGGACCCCACCTTGCTGGGGTGGCGGCTCCGCTGTGGGGCCGCACCCGGGAGTGCTCCCTGGCATCTGAGCTGGGGAAATGTCAGCCGGAAGCCGTGGGCGACCATTAGGTGGTGGAGCGGGGATGTTTTCCGCGGCGCGCTGTCGGGGGCACGTGTGACACAGTGAGGGCGGGGGCGTAATGGGGTCAGCACTGTCAGCATCCCCCCCCGCCGCTATTGTCACCGCCTCGCTGTGTGACCTTGGACAAGTAGCTTCTGAGACTCATGCCTGGACACCTTCAGGGAGGAGGGCGGTGATGTCGGGGAGTGCGGGCTCCTGAGACTCCTGCGTCAGCAGAGGTGAGGGTGGTGAGTGCACAGGATTATCTCTAAGGGACAGAGCTGCTGCCTAGAAGCCCGGGAGGGGTGTGATGGAGGGCAGCGTCTAGCTGCATCTCTCCCCCTAGAAGATGAGAAAGGGGCGGTGATGGGGCGCCACACCCACGGGGATGGAGGCAGGAGACGACAGGGTCCTAAACCCGGGCCCCTGATGCCTTTGGGGACTTGGCCAGCACTTCCCCATCATCGCAGCAATGAGGGGTTTTATTTAGATTCTGGACCAGGAGCCCTGCTTGACTGAGAAGAGAATCCTTGGGTTGCCTTTCCTCTTGAATCTTGGCATTGGTGAGTGGGGGTAAGGCATTTCTCTTCCCAGGGAGCTGAAGAAGGTCAGGGGCAAGTGCCACCCTGTGGACCTGGCCTGGCCTCTACTTCTTGGGGCCTTCAGGTGACAGGCTCAGGGCAAGACCTGGGTGGGACAGGCAATCTGGAGGCTAGAGGGGTCTAAGAACCCTCAAGCTGGGGGCATCGGGGAATGGGAGGTTTTGAGGAGGGGATGCACTTTTTAGGGAGACACCAGGGTGTGGGATGGTGGGAGTCTCTTCCCCAATTCACCCCTGCTAGTGAGAAAGAGAACACCATACTTATCCTTGCACTTTTGGCCTGGTGGAGGGAGGAGGAAATGGAGTCACATTCAGACAGAGTTCATGTAAAACTGCCATAACCACACCTGACATCCAGTCTTGCCTTTTCAGGCCTTGTTCTAGGTAAGCAGTCCCCTCACTGTGTGCCCAGACCTATGTCAGGTTCTGGAGTCAGCAGGTCATTGTGGTCTCAGTGGGAACTCTGTTTACAAGCTTGAGCTTTTTTTTTTTTTTAAAGATTTTATTTATTTATTTTGAGAGAGAGACAAAGAGAGAGAGGGACAGAGGGAGAGGGAGAAGCAGACTCCCTGCTGAGCAGGGAGTCTGATACGGGGCTCCATCCCAGGACCCTGAGATCATGACCAGAGCTGAACGCTTAACCGACAGAGCCCCCCAGGCACCCCTACAAGCTTGAGCTTTAATGAGAGGCTGGACAGTGCTTCTGCTGGACTGGGTGCTTAAGCCAGGATTTAGCCCTGGGCTAGGGTGGGGTGGGGGCCGTGGAGGCGGGAGGGTGGAAGGTGTTGGAGTTTTGTGGCTCAGAAAGTCCTTGAACAGGTTGGGAATGGAGCTGGAGGAATGAAGCTGGAGGAATGAATGATAAATGAGGCCCCAAGAGTTTGGGGCCATGCCCCCAGCCACAAGGCAGAGGACAAGCTGGAGCTGGGCCTGTGGTGCCTGGGATCTGGGGGCTGCTTCCAGGGCAGGGAGGTGGTATAGGGGTGCAGCTGTGGGATGGAGGACCAGGGTGGCATGTTCTGGAGTTCTACTTTGCCATGGACAGACTGTCTCAGTCCTCCCTCCAGTCTGGAGCCTTGGGGCCCCAGTGTGGGACAGCCTGGAGTAGCAGCTAGACCCTGTGGGGCCAGAGTCTAGGGGGCTGAGAACTCTGGGTTTCTCTGTAACTCCCATTTGTCCAGCTGTTTGCTCACTTGCCATATTCCTGGGCCTTCTCATGCCATGGGACATGGTTCCATGGGACCTGGCTGAGCCCCGCCCTGGAGAGGGTAACCTTGAAATAGCCTTTCTCTCTAAAGCTGAGAGGGACCTCAGCTCTCTGTCTCCCAGAGAGAGAAGGTTCTTTCAATTTTCCTGAGAGTAACTGAGAGCCAGAGAAGCCCCCCAAGGCCCTTGTTCCAGCTTTCCAGCTCTCCTCATCCTGTGACTGTTCCTGGTACCATGGGTGACCTGTTGACAGTCCAGCTAAGCTGGGGACTGGCTTCCTTTTGTTTTTGTTCCTGGGGTGGGGCATTTCTCACAATATACACTCTTCACATCTTCTTCTGGTTGAAGGGGACAGAAGACTCTCAGCAGTCTGTGCTCAGGCAATCCCTGGGGGACCTGGCTGGCCTGGGAGTGGGGGAGGAGGGAGGCAGGAGAAGGGAAGGGGGAGGGCAGCCCCTCAACCCTTGAGCTGTTTTCTGAGAAGCCTGAAGTCCCTGCCCGCACCCCCCCCCCCCCCCAGGGCCATTTGTGACTGTTCCAGGATTAGCCTGAAGAGCCTCTTTACTGGTGCTGCCCTGAAATTGCTGTTGCCTCAGAAACCAGGCCTTTGGGGTTTGCTTTTGCAAAGATGAGGGCGGAGTGGGGAGCGGCATCAGAGCTTCAGGTATCAGCTACCCCAAACCCTCAGAGGAAGAGGTCACTGCTTATTCCTTTGGTACAAATGAGGAAACCGAGGCACACAGACTCGAAGTAACTTCCCATGCTGCCTCAATATGAACCAGGACTGCTGGGCTCTGGAGCCCATGCTCCTGACCATGCCCCTGCTGTGTCTGTGGGGCTCTGCAGCTTGGGCAACATTCAGGACTTTGCTGGCAGGGGAGGAGGCCTGGGGTTGCGAGGGGACCTAGCAGTTCCTGTGGACACAGCTGCAGCAGGGGGAAGTGGATACCCTCCCCTCCCGCCTCTGATGAGGAATTGTGTTTGGATGAGAATCTGGCTCCCAGGGGACAGCGACTGACAGGGCTCTCTGCTGAGAAAGGAGGCTTGCTTTTTCCAGCCTCCTCTGGGCCCTTTAAGTCACTTGCCTTCCATCTCTGTGTTCTCACTGCCCAAGGGTCACAGGCATGCCTGAATGCCTGCTCTGTACTGAGCTCTGGGCAGTGCATGAGATGCTGGTCTTGCCCTCAGTGGGCATTCCATCTCAAGGGGAGTAACTGATTGTGGCAAAGCCAGAATAATGCCCAGTGGGAGGCCACACTCTAAGAGATGGGGGGAGGGGAGTACCCTCTGGGGCAAGGGTTGGCTAAGAGAGTGGGGTGGGGAGTTCCTCTTTCTGAGAGCTTCCGGTGTAGAGTCATTGGCCTTGACATGTCACATCTACCTCGAGGGCCCAGCCAAGGCCCATCCTTGGGTTCCCCTTAGTTTGGTCATTCATTCACTGAGCAAATATAAACTGGACACAGCTGTTCCCTGCCAGGTGCTGGGCTGGGCACTGGGGACACAGGCTTTGGCAAAAACATAAGTCACTGCCCTGGTAAGGTGGGGAACATAAAATGATCCCAGAGGTGGCGAAGGGGATTCTTGTAAAGATTTTCAGGCCTATCTTGGGATGAGAGGGGGTGGGGTAGGGTTGTGCTACCCTAAACAAGTCCTCTGGGGCTAAGACTGAGGCTAAGCTATGGGGTGGGGGACAGGGGATTGTTCCTGGTCAAAGGGAGGGCCTGGATGAGGCAGGCAGGCGATAGGCAGTAGGAGGGGGCCCTGCATGTCCTAGGTCAGAATATTTGGGGAAGGAGACCCCAGGAGCCTTTGCTCACCAGCCGCTGGTTAAGAGTTTCACCTGGGCATCCAGGAAGTGTCTTGGGAGTTGGGGGGGGGGGTGCTTTGTGGACATTGGGCTGTCATTCTCGTGTGGCTGGAGCAGCCTCTGCATGAGGTAGGAAGAGGGCCTGGTACCCTTGTGTTTGCCCATTTTTCACATGTTCTGAATCCACTGCTTCAAGGGATGGCTGGAGTGGGTGGGGTGGGGGAGGCTTCTCTTTAAGGGCCAGGCTCTCTGGGGACAGGCTGAGCATTCCAGGGCTAAGGGACTTGCCTTTCTGGGACTGACTCCAGATTGGCCCTGACCAGAGATAAGTCAGGGCATAGTTCCCTTCCCTGTACCCTGGGCCTGGGAGCTAGCTTCCAATGGTGAGGGGGTGGGTGCTGGCCTGGGACCTGAGACCCAAGCCTTGCCTTTCTCTGTACCTCCCTAGGCCTCCTACCTGGGGACTCTTGGTACCTGAGCTGTTGACCCTGCCCATGAGGCGCTTGTGGCTGGGCGGGCTTCAGTTGAGGCCTGCTCCCGGGGCAGCTTGGTACCTAAGACCTCGCAGGCCCAGCCCCCAACGGTGAGGCCACGCTGTGGTTTCTCTTCTTTCCTTAGATTAGCCAAGGTCATTCATGGGCGACTCATCTCTAAATACTTCAGTGAAAAATAAGGACATATGTCTCTGTAGAGTACAATTGCATTTCTCACCTAACAAGATTAGCTTTTGGTTCTTAATGTCGCCACCTAAGATCCAGTCCCATTCACGTTTCCCAATTATCCCCCAAACATCCTTTTTTTAAAATAGGTAGTTAGAAATCCCCTACCCCATTTATTTTTCTTCTTGTAGCTGATGTGGTGGAAAAAACCAGGTCAGTTGTCTCGTCGAGTACCCTGCCTTCTAGGTCTCTTGTGTGTTAATTTAGAGCAGTGGTTGGCAACCTTTTTCTGTAAAGGGCCAGACAGTAAATATTTTAGATTTTGCAGGCCATGTGGTCTCTGTTGCAACTACTCAAAGTAGCTTTGCTTGAGTGCAAAAGCAGTTTTAGAAACCACGGAAACACAGGAGCGCAGTTGTGTTCCAATAACCTTATAGAAAACAGACGGCCGCCTCAGGCTGTAGCTCGCTCAGCCCCTATCTAGACCGACCACCGCTCCTTTATTTTTCTTGCAGTTTGGGGGAAAAACTAAAATGATGGGTCAGTTGTCCTGTAGAACATTCTGCCTTCTGGGTTTGTTTCGTTGCTTCCCCAGGGAGTCATTTCCTGTGTTCCACTCACCTCAGCGTTTTCAATCAGGAGGAAGCTGGAGCTAGGGGCTCTTTAGATCCCAGTTAGACATTTCAGGTAGGACCCCCTCGTCAGTGGTCTGTGACGTCATGCTGCCTCCCCCCAGGAAGCCTCCGTGGCTCAGGCTGTCCCACTGTGAGGGACAGGAGATTGCCGGTGCACGTGGCTGACACCACATCCCTCCGTTGCAGACTGGTGTCTGTCCCCTGAAGAACCCCAGGCCATGTGTCCTACTTCTGTCAACCTTTGCCCCCCTGGTCAATGATCCCCTGCCTCCCAGCCTCCAGCTTTGGTTTCTTGGGCCATCGCAGAATTACTTATTAGCATTTGGTCATTCCTTTGTTATTGAATAGTGAGAATTCTTCTGTAAAGAAGAGTTTTCCTTTAACCACCAGGATGACTTGGTAATGGGAAAGGCTAAGGGGCAGGCCAAATTATTTCTCTTTATTGCCAATTTTCTTTCTTTCTTTTTTTTTTTTTTTTTAAGATTTTATGTGGGGCGCCTAGGTGGCTCACTCGTTAAGTGTCTGCCTTCGGCTCGGGTCATGATCCCGGGGTTCTGGAGTCGAGCCCCGCATCAGGCTCCCTACTCCACGGGAAGCCTGCTTCTATTTATTTTTATTTTTATTTTTAAATTTTATTTATTTGACAGCGAGAGACACAGCGAGAGAGGGAACACAAGCAGGGGGAGTGGGAGAGGGAGAAGCAGGCTTCCCTCGGAGCAGGGAGCCCGATGCGGGGCTCGATCCCAGGACCCCGGGATCATGACCCGAGCAGAAGGCAGACGCTTAACGAGTGAGCCACCTAGGCGCCCCATTATTTACGTATTTAGAGAGAGCGAGCTCCTGCGTGTTGGGGGCGGGGAGGGCAGAGGGGAAGGGAGAGGGACAAGCAGACTCTGCTCTGAATGCGAAGTCTGACTCAGGACTCTGTTCTCACGACTCTGAGAGCCGACCTGAGCAGTAATCAAGAGTTGGATGCTTGACCGATTGCGCCACCCAGGCACCCATCCTTATTGCCAATTTTCAGAGTGAAGAGTTAGGGTATTGCTACTGTCAGTGGTGACAAATGAGGGTTCGGGTTTGTTTATTTTGTTTTTTTTGTAATCTCCGTGAATGCTTGAATTTTATGTTCCATCTGTTTCCATCAGTTGCACTCATTATTCTTCTTGATGCTTAGATGGCCCCAGCTCGGCCCATCAACAGCCAGGCTGCTCACACAGGCTTCCTAGGGGTGCCTCCCGCTGTCCCTGCCCTGTGGCTGCCCTTGGGGAGCTGAGCCAGGGGGCCAGCCCAGAGAATCAGGCCAGAGGCCGAATGGTGGGTTGCCACGGGGCAGCCCCTTCACCTGGCATCTGGTTCTGTCTATGGCCCTGAGCCATCACCCGGAGGGAAGCTCCAAGGGCCCGTCTTACGGGGGCCCCCATTCTCGCTCTTGCTCAAGCATACTCTTGACTCAGACCTGGTCCCAGCTGCACTGGGTGTGTAACCTGGACAATGTGGCATCTGGCTGCGGGAGGGTAGAGCCCTTGGGGTTACCAGCATGAGAAGTGGCGTCTGAAAAGTGCCAGTGATGTCCCCTTCCTTTCCAGGCTGTCCTTCCTGCCAGTCTCAGGTGGGTTGGGTACAAGAGTCCCATACCGACGCTTTGGCACGCAGAAGCTGCAGCTCAGCACATGCTGGTGAGGCTCTGGGTCAGCAGGGCATCAGGCAGGGGTGAGGGCTCTTGGGGAGTGTGGGGAGTGGGGGGCAGAAGCCCCCCATGCTAGAGGGTACAGGCATCCCTTGGCTGTTGAGAGCAGCAGAGGGTTGGGTCTTACTGTCTTCCCTAAAGGGACATCTCTGCTTTCCCCTAGCCACGGGCCCTTGGGTGGCCCTGACCCCTGCCCTCCTGACTCCCACCCTTCAGGCTCCTGCTGGTGTCCCTGGAGTATGGGAGGCTGCTGGGCTTGAGCGGCGCTGTCTGGCAGGAGCTGCGCGTCTTACCCCGTGGCAGGGAGGGCATCCATGGCTGCAGCCAACAAGGGTGAGTGCCTTCCTGGCCGGGCAGGGTTTGCACGAGTGTTCCAGTGGGCCCTGGCGGGAGGGGTGTTGTTGCATGCAGGACCTGCATTGGCTGTGTGTGTGTGTGTGTGAGAGAGAGAGAGAGAGAGAGAATTACATTGCATCAGTGTAATTATACCAGTGTTTGTGCTGGGTCCTGGCGCTCACCCAAGCCCTAGCAGGGAACCGGAGGACTCCTGCTGGCTCCTTGGTGTGCTGGTTTATGGAGGTGTCTGCCCTCTTGTCCCCATGTTCCAGCCTCCCTATTCCACTGTGGGGGCTGGGGGTGCATTAGAGCCTTGGGGTAAGCACTGAGGCTGACTAGGTAGGTAGGGCCACAGAAGGGAATTTGGGTTTCATTCAGGGTTCAGAAAGGCTCATAGAGGGTTTTAGGCAAGGGAGGTCAGGTAAAATTTGAGGGTCAGTTCTAGGGGGCTCAGCAAGGAATGTGGAGTTGTCAGCCTACCCCCTCCTTTCTCCCCGAGCCAGGCCAGGCCTGGCCCAGCTCCTCCCACCAAAAGGACTCTGGACAGAGATCTTGGGATGCCTAAGGGCTGTGGCTGTGGGCCAGAGAGGATTGGGGGCCTGCTCATGGCAACATGTGCCTCCCCCAGCCCAGGCCCTCACCCCAGCTCCAATTGCTCTGCCTATCTCAACTCCCTGCCTCCAGGCCTTGGAGAACCAGACCCAGCTAGGGACAGCTGAGGGCCTTTGTGTGTGTGTGTGTGTGCATGTGGTGGGGGGTGGTCAAGTAGAGGAGGGTAGGGTGTCTTTGGGAGGGGTCTGAGAGGCTCCCCTGGGTACCTCCATCTTGCTTGCTAGTGATCAGGGATGAGGTTTAGAGCCTCTTCTAGGTGGGCTCAGTGTGGTTTTTGGCCCCCTTTGTTTCTGCCACCTCCAAAAAGGTCCCATAGAGCCTGCTCCAGTCCCTGACCCCTCCTCTCTCAGGTTGGGGTCATCAGGAGGGGCAGGCAGGGGCCTTGGCACTGATAGACTTGGAACCCAAGGCCTGGGGCTGTGTCTGCACTATCTGGGGCTTGCTGAGAGTCTGGAGGACTGTCTCTTCTTATCTCTGTCATCTGCCTCATCTCTTCTAAGTAAGGGGTCATACTAGCTAATCCCTGACACACCCGTTCTCAGGGTGCTTATATTTTGTGGGAGGACTGGGAAGGTAGGGGGCCTTAAGCCTCATGACCCCTAGTATCCATTAGGATGTGGCCTAGCCCTGAAAGGAGTCCATCCAGTGGGTGTTGAGTGATGGCAAGGGCAGTTGTAGGGGGTGGGAGGGACATGGGATGACATGGGGGGAGTCGTTTCCTGGGGATAGAGGAAACCAGCAGCCCCTGGAGCCCTCTCCTCCTCTCTTCCTAGGCAACAAGCCCAGAGTCCGGAGTATCCGCTTTGCAGCCGGCCATGATGCAGAAGGCTCCCAGAGCCATGTCCACTTTGATGAGAAGCTGCATGACTCTGTGGTCATGGTCACTCAGGAGAGTGACAGCAGCTTTCTGGTCAAGGTACGTGCACCCCTCCCCCTGTCATCCGCCTTTACTCCCTCTGCCCCCTGCCTGGCCCTGCCTGGCTTCCTGGACCTGTCTGTTCCACTTCCTCAAAGCTGGCTTCCTAGGCACATCTCTGTCCCGCCCTGGGCCTTGGTTTCCCTGTCTGTAAAGTGGGAGGTGGCGAGACTGCAATGAAATGAGTGCCTTTAGGATGTTACTCAAACAAGTGGAACAGAGCTGTTGTTATCAGCGTCACCCCGACAACAGCAGTGGAAGGTGGTGTCAAGGCTTGAGGTGCCATAGGCCTGGGTTCAGGTCCAAGCCTGCTAATCTGGCACAGTGACCTTGGGCAGGTTACCTCAGTTTCCCCTTCTCTGAAATGAAGACAGCTCACACCCCATAGAGTTGGTGCAAGAATGAGATGAAAGAATGTATGTGTGTCACGCAGGTGTGAGGCAAATTTTGCTGATAACAAGGTGTGACTTGCATTACCCTTCTTTGCAAACCTCTCGCTGCTTTAGGCTCTGCGGTATTAGTGTTTACTTTATCGCCCCCATGTTTTCTGCTGGGCGGGGCACCCACCTCTGCCAGTTGTCCCGCCTCACACACCCTCCAGCACGGCTTCTCCAAGTGCTGGGGCCCTGACAGATCCCGCATGCACTTGGGAGGGGCAGGAGGAAGTGTCTGGAGGGGACAGACTGGTGGGGAAACAGGGAATGAATCCCTCAGGTTAAACAGTAGGCCAGGGCTCCGGAGTTGAGCAGGAATGCCCCAGCAAGGGGAGGGCATCTGGTCCATTCGAGACCACCGAGAGGAGGGGCCCAGATTCATCATTTCTGCTCAATCGTAAAATCCTTGCTCTTTTCCTGACAACTTCCTCCAGGGAATTAACAGAATTAACCAAAACTTTAAAGAATAGCTCCCTCTCCCCCTACCTCCCCATTGCAAAATCCACTGATGTCCGCTAGGGAAAATTTGGAAGCTAGAGAAAACTATAAAGAAATTTAAAAGCACACACAATCATACTATCCAGACACAACCATAGTTAATATTTTGATGTGTGTCATTTCAGCTTTTTTTTTTTTGCTTCATTTCCCAAAACAAAAAGCTAGGATCACAGCGGACACACAGTTTTTTGCTTGCTTGTGAACCGTCCGCTGTCTATGTCAGTGAATAATTTTCCACGAGATTTTCCAACTGCCTGATAGTCCATTAAATGTATCATCGTTGATTCATCTGGTTCCCTATTCCTGGTATTATGAATGTTTCTACTTTTTACTGTTATAAATAGGGCAGCGAGGAGTGTTTTTTGCACATCTCTGAGATTTCCCCTGGCAAATTCTGCATTTGGTGCAGCTGGGCCACAGGATCACCACTGGCAGGATAGCCAGAAAGCCCTCTTGAGAAATGTGTCCTCCCCCTGCAGAGTGTGGGAGCCCTGTGGACTGACCTTTGTATCATGCAGTGACGTCTGTCTGTCCCACTGAGCGAACTGCTTCACATAGCCAGCCCTAACAAGCCCCAGGGACGGGACCGTGGGCCCCGCAGCTGTGAGCACTCCAGTGTGTGTGCACACAAGGTAGTGAGTACAGCGTGCACCTCCACGCCTCGGGACTGCACTCTGGTTAGCCTGCCCGGTCAGCAGCCACCCCAGCTCATGGCCCTTCACACGGCGGGACTTGTGAAGGTCGGCATCTGGTTGCCAGTCGCTGTGTACGAACAACAGAAATGGCTTGGGCCAGGACTTGGGGCTTTGGGCTCAGCGAGCCTTTGGGTGGGCAGGCAGGCCTCCACGTTCAGGCGCCAACAGGGTGGCAGCAGGGTTCACTGTGGTGCCAGTGGGCCAGCTCGAGACTGACCCAGCTGGTCCTGTGTCTTTTTCTGATTCTGTCTCCTTCGTCCCTGCAATCTGTGTTGCCCATTTTCTCCATACGAGTGACGAGAGGACCAGTGTCCCTGAGCCCAGGCTCTCGGCTCTGGGCAGGTGCTGGTAGGGGTGGGGGCAGGGGAGTGGCCTGTCCCGTGGGCCATGGCAGGTGCTAGCCCCGTGCCGCATGTGGCAGGAGTGGCCAAGAGGCCTCAGGAGGGCTTTACCCTGGCCACACTGTGTGGTTTCCAGCCAGTCATTGTCTGGCTTCCATGTCCTCGTCTATAAAATGGGCCACTGTTTGCTGCGGGGCCCGTGAAACAGATGCTGAGTCGCAAGCTGAGGGGACGAGGTCCTCAGGCAAAGGGCCTGGAGCCACTAGGCTTGGGGTGTGGACAAGCTGGAGTGCTGGCGGGAGTTAGACCCCCTCTGGGATCCCTACAGCAGCGGGTGCAGGGGCCCACAGGACCCTAGGTGGCGGGAGCTGGGGGTCCCCGGGGGAAGCTGAGAGTGAAGGTGCTTCCCTCTCTCCCCCCATCGTCCCGCTACAGGTTGGCTTTCTGAAGATCCTGCACAGGTATGAGATTACCTTCACTCTGCCCCCAGTGCTCAGGCTGAGCAAGGACGTCCAAGAAGCACCAGTCCCCAGCCTACACCTCAAGCTCCTCAGCATCATGCCTATCCCAGAAGGTGTGTCCCCAGCCCTCCTCCAGCAGGGCCTGGATGTGAGAGGGGGTGAGAGCATGGGCCGCTTCCCCTCCCCCTTCCAGGGTGGATGGGGGTTCAGCAATTGGGGGACATGAGGCCTCTTTATGGGCTTTGAGTGTGGTATCTTGGTAGGTCCCATACCCCAGGCCTTGCTCCTGGACAGAAGTCCGTGGGCTCACACTCTTGGCCCGTGCGTGTGCATCACCTGTGAGGAACTGGCTCTGGGCCTCCAGCCCTCCCTCCTGCCTGCCCTTAAGAAAAATCTGCCAGAGCCCCAGGAATCGTGGGCAGTTACCTCCTAGCACCTGCCAGTCACAGGCTTTGGACTTGGGGCTGCTTCTCCTTACCCGGCCAGCTTTAGGCCCTCCCCTGCCCCCACCCAGAGGCTAGGGTGTCAGTTTCATAGTAGGCTGACACCCCGGCTTGTTTCATGTCCCCCTACTTCCTCTTCATGACCTTGCCCTTAGTGGATTGGGCAAGCTCCCTCAGGCCCTTACCTCTTGCCACCTGATCTGCTGAGGGCCTGCCCTGTCCCTCTTTCCCCATCACCCCCTTTCCCTGCCTGCCTTTTTGGGGAATCAATGGGTCCTCCTCCTGGGAACCTGAGTTTGACCCTTGGAGCCCTAAAGGGGTTGTCCACAGTCCGGAGGCAGGTAGAGGGGGAAGTGAAGAGGGGGAAGTTTCCAAGGCCTGTTTGCCCAGCCTCGGGGGGATAGGTCCTGGGCCATCCTTAGTCCCTTGGAGGAGGTGGCCAGTCTTGGTGGCAGGTTGAGGCCAGTGAGTGCTGGGGGCGGGGGTGGGGTGGGGTGGAGACCAAGGAAGTGCTGATGACCTGGGCAGGTTATAGCGTCAAGTGTGAGTACTCAGCGCACAAGGAGGGTGTCCTCAAGGAGGAGATGCTGCTAGCCTGTGAAGGTGGCGCCGGCACGTGCGTGCGAGTGACAGTGCAAGCGCGCGTCATGGGTGAGCCGCGAGCCCGGGTCTGGTTACGGGGGGAGGCGCCCGCTTGGCCGCACCGGGTTTTTGCCCTCCCTGTCTGGAAGAGGGGTCCTTGCCTTGGCCCGGGGTTCCCAGGTGCCTTCTCCCCAGCCCCCTAGCAGGGCCCAGAGGGAGGGTGGGCGGGGGGGGGTGATGTCTCCTAAGAGTGGGTGGGGCCAGGGGCCAGCCTGGCATCCTCATTTGTCACCTACCTTGCAGACCGACACCACGGCACACCCATGCTGCTTGATGGGGTCAAGTGCGTGGGTGCTGAGCTAGAATACGACTCAGAGCACAGCGACTGGCACGGCTTCGACTGAGGCCTGCGGCCCTGCACGCCTTGGGGCCCCACAGCCTTAAACCCCACCTCATCTCCCCGAATGCTATGTGACGGTGTGGCTTCCTCGCCCCTCCCCGGGGTGGAGGGGCGGGGGTGGGGTGTCCAGGGGCTTCTCACCTCTGCCTTCATTGTGCCACCTCCCTGCCTCTCCTGTGTCCTCCTGTCCCACTTCCTCCTCTCCATGAGCCTCAGTTTCCTGCTGGAAGAAATGGGTTGAGCTCCCAGGGAGGCTATCTGAGGGAGGGGTACGCCTGGAGTGAGTTCTGCCCTCCCCCCCACCCCAAGCCATAGGGGCTCTAGCCAGGGCTTGGGAGAGGAGACAGCTGGCTAGGTGACGTCGCCATCACTCCCGTTACTGCTGCAGCTCTCTGGCTTTTGCCGTGCCCCCTCCCTCTTTCTTCCTGCTGTCCGCGCTCAGTAGGAGGGAGGCACAGCCCCAAGCCCTAACCCCCAGGTCTGTGTTACTTGGTTTTTAAAGGACTGATTGGGATAAAACCCTAAAGAAATAAAACTTTCAGTGGATACCAGAGGCCAGCCAGTGTTTGTTCTCCAGGGCTCTGAGAACACCCAATCCTCTGCAGATGGGCTAAGGAACAATTTTGGATTGTATCATTCTTTTACGAGGAAGGGGCACTCGATGGTATTCTAGCACCTGGCCCCAAAAGAAGTATGCACGCTTGGTATTTTAGGCCTGGGAATAGTTGACGAGTTGGGATGGGGAGGGCCTTCTGCCTAGGTCAGATGGGAAGTCTTAGGGAGTGAGGTCTGTTTGGGATGTTTGACAGAGAGAGCAGCACCCCCTTCTGGTCAGTTCCCAGCTCTGCGCAGAGCTGAAAGCACTCTCCCTTTTTTGAACCCAGCCCCGCCTCCACTACTCTGTTGGGGTCCCCTTTGTGATGTACCAGCAGGCTATACCTTCACCTTAGGCACAAATGCTTTATTGTCACCTTAGGGTTCTCAGGCAGGTGGGGCAGTTGCAGGTCAGGGGTGGGCAGGGAATGTCCCAATGGCATAGTGAGTTGATGGCAGATCCAGGATCAGCCCTTCGTTCTCCTTCTGTCTCTCGACAGCCCCCCCCAAACCCCACTGCCCTTCGGTGGCTGGGATAGGGTGCACGTGGGTCATTCATGGGCTTCTTCAGATGAATTCTCTGTCCTGAAGGAAGGCCCCCCCCAGCAAGCTCCCCCTACATCCTCTCATAAGTGCCTTCATCCTGCATCCTCCTCTTTAGCCTGTTAATTGAGAAAGTTTAAAAATTAAGTCATACCTGGATGGTCAGTACCACACCCGGGAAGGTCCTGTACCCCTGTGCTGCTCGTGCTAGCCTCCAGCCATTTTTCTGCACCATAGGGCCTCTTTGCCCAGCGCCCTGTGCTGGCTGAGCCTATCAATCCATGTACTGGGCCCTTCAGGCCCAAGCCCTGCACATCCTCTGTCCTCCTGCTGCCCCTCCTGCAGCGGCCCTGCTCCGCCTCTCCCAGCTGCCTCCACTTCCCACCCCCCCACCCCCCAGTTCAGGCCAGGGCTTGGTCTTCTGCTGCAATCTGCCTTCGGGGTCACGTGCCCCTTTGTGGGCGCACCGTCTTACGAACCTCTTCTGACTCTTTGATCTCAGCCCTTGGCAGGGCTCTTCGGCCTTCCAGTCAGCCGACCCGGGCCCAATTCCAAAGCGAGAGTTTGTCCCTACCCATCCTGCGACCTCATCTCCCCGGACAGGAGGGCGGGGGAAGAGGCGCTGACTTCAGAACCAGCAGCTCGGTCCACGCGAGCCAGCGCCCCAGACTCCCCCCTCCCCCCAACCCCCCGACCGCACGCAACAGGGCGGGGCCTGGCACGGGGTGGGGATGGGGCTGGCACGGCGCCCGCGCGCTCAGTTGGAAAGAAAGTCTATGGCGGCGCGCACGGAGCGATTTGTGCTGACGTCGACGGCGGTGACCCTGATCTCGGTGTCGCCAAACTGCATGGCGGCGCGGATCTCGCGGCGGCCGGGGGACGCGCCGTCGGAGGGCTCCAGCTCGAGGCTGAGCGCGCCGCACTTGCGCACGCCCGGGTCGGTGATGAAGCGCGCGTCCTCGGCGGCGCAGCAGTACAGGTTGATGAGCACGCGCCGCTGGCCCGGCCGCGCCGGGCAGTAGCTGCGCCGCACCTCCTCGCCCAGGGCCACCGACTGCTCGGCGGCCACGAAGCGCTCGAAGACGTCGGTGCACCAGCGGCGGCCGTCGCGGACCAGCAGTTTCTCAGGCGGGTGGCGCCCGGCCACGAAGCGGTTGAGCACGCCCACGCCGTAGGTGAGCGGCGAGCGGCGCACGCGCACCACGCCCGGCGCCTGCCCGAACAGCACCGCGCCCTTGAGGATGGTGAGGCCCACGTCGTGCGGGACCACCACGCGCAGGCCGCGGGCGCCCAGCGCCGCCTGCACCGCGTGCTGCAGCACGGCCGACTCCGCAAAGCCGCCCACCAGGAAGAGCAGCTTCACGCCCTGCACCTCGGGCCGCGCCAGCAGCGCCTCTGCGGGAAGGGGCGGGGTGGGGGTGGGGGGGGGGGAGAAGGGAACGCGAGGTGAGAGAGCGCACAGGCCTCCGAGGCCGCCGCCCTGCGGCCACAGGCACCTCCCCTCCGCCATCCTGTACCCAGCTGGCAACTAGAAACTGGTTCCGTCACCCTAAAACGGTAGCCGGGTTCGGAGGAAGAAAAACACCGAGAGTTTTCATTGAGTGCTTCGGGCAGTCTTCACGGGCTCTGCTTCCCCTGCACTCTACCCCCTTTCCTCTCGCACCACGACGTGGAGGGCGAGATAAGGATATGCATTTTCATGTACTAAGTGCCTCCTGCCGACTGTGTGCACATCTCTAGTATTTCAGCTCCCTGGGATGACAGTTTTGGGGACCCAATACTATCACCCCATTTTATAAATAAGGAAACCAAGGCATCAGGGGTTCTTTCACAGTCAGAAGAGAGACTATACACATCATCCCTCCGAGTTCTTAATACCCACGACACTGTGTCCTCCAGGTGTTTCAGGTGATTCTGGGTCTCATTCCAGTGTATGGATGGGTGGAGGCTTCCAGGCACTAATGGGGAGGAATCATTCCTGCATCTGAGTGTGAATGTGGGGGTCAGTGGAGGACTCAAGGCTCAGGCACTCACCTATGTGCTGGATGATCCCACTGACCGTGGGCTGAAAGAGCTCGTTCATGGCCTCGCAAGACATCCTGAGCATCCCCTGTGAGGACCACTTCACGAAGTTCACGCTGTTGGTGAAGGGGGCACAGGCTTATCGGTGGGGTCTGGGGTTCTACCCCTGCTCCAGGCCAGTGGGCCTGGGCACTGACTGCATATTGTGTGTTCTCCCAGCCCCACTCCCTCAGGGGCTTTAGGCGCCTGCCCGCTCCAGTTCCAGGCATGAAGCCCCAGGAGAGGAGCCTCCCTTTGTCTCTGGGCAGAAGAGCCAAGGCACACTGGCTGGCACGGGGTGTGTGTGTGGCGGGATGGGGTGGGGTGGGGTGGGGAGGCTGCCGCGGTGCGGGGAGGAGAAAGATGTCGGCCCTTCCCCCAGTTCCAGCCGCGGATTCTAGCTGGGATGCTCATGCCCCTCTCCTACTGTCGGCTGGCAAGAAATGTGCACGGGGCAGGTGGGGCAGACTCTGGGGCCCACATGCTCCCTTGCAGGGGCTTTCCCCATCCGCAAACCCTGCTTGAGTTCATGGTCCCTGGACCCACCTGCTCCGGCGCAGGGCTGTCTCCACGTTGTGGCCTCGCTGTTTGCGGTAGAAGTCGATGAAGGAGAAAGGCAGCGAGATGTTGAGCGCCCCTGCGCGGTGCGGGCCCGCCGTGCGTTTGCGGGCCTCGAAGGCGATGGTCAGATCCACCCAGGCTGCCGGCCGTTGCCTTTTGAAGGTGGTGATGAAGTCCTCGCCGAAGATGCGGCCCAGCAGCTGCTCAAAGGCCAGGTCCACGCCCACCGCGCCGTAGGGGCCGCCTGGGGTTGGGCAGGGGATAGAGGGGGAGTCAGCGCAGAATCTGCCGCCAGGGGGCGTTGGCGGGGCCCGGGCGCGCTCGGTACCAAGGGTGCTGCCTGGCGGGCTACTCACCAGATGCCTTGTACAGTTCCTTGAGGGTGCCATGCGGCTGCTCCAGCTGGTGCACGGTCAGGTCCACAGTGCCTCCTCCGCAGTCTGCCACCACGTAGCGGTCTCCTGCGGCGGCGAGCGTGAGCACGCACTCCTGGCCCGCTTTGCACCCTCAGCTCTGCTTCCCTTCCAGATTCACCCAGCCCCCAGCCCTGCCCCAGACCCGAGCCTTGCCTGCGGGGAGGATGGGGGTGGGAGGAGCTGTAAGGGGCTTCCAAGTGCTTAAACCTTAGGCTACCGGGTAGGGACGCAAGGTTTTGGGGGAAAGTGTTTCCAGGACTCTGCAACTTCATCCGTGGAGAATCCCCAGGAGAAGTGGGAGTCAGGGGCGCGGCTGAGTGGTGTGGGGGTGCAGGTGACCGTGACTGCCAGGTTAGGTGCAGCTGATGGAGGAGTAAGGGTGGGGTTTCTAGGGGCTAGAGCCCACTTCGCGAATGTTCCCTTGCCCCCTATCAGTGTACGTTCCCCGCAGGACCCGAGAAACGCCCCTCTGTCCCTCCTTCCCCACCTGCTTGCATCTCTGCCCACAGCTCTCCGACGCCAGACTCCACCAGGAACGTGCGGCTGTGGCGGGACCGGCGCAGCTGCTCGCGGGCTGGGGGTCGAGGGACAGCAGGACAGTGGGGTTAGAAGGAGGTGCCTCTGCTAGAACGCTCGGCACCCCCTCACCAGCACCCTCCATGAGCATCTGGACCAGCCAGTTCTCCTGAAACTCTTGCTCTACTCTAACTAGGAGAAGGCAGTGCTGAACCTCAAAGGGTCTGGAAGAACCCAATGGGGTACGCTCCAGTGTTGGGACCAACAGCTGAGGGGAAGTATTTCTGGCTGCAGGACATTCCCTTAATGCAGGCTGGCTCATGGCAGGGCAAAATTGGGGTTAGGACAGTTTGGCCGGGGGAGGAGTTCCTGGGGGATCCAGGGGAGCCCAGGACTTGGGACCTCTTCTTGTCATGGGAGACAGCATCTGGGAGAGTGACTAAGACTGACCACAGCTGTCTCAGTGCCCAGTCCTGGTACTGGGGCTTGAGCTTGGTAGCGGGAACTTGGGGCTATTGTGGGGGGAATGGGGATGACAGCTATGTACCAGGATGGGAGAGGTGGCTGATTCAGCGGCTGCTGAAGAGAAAACTCTTGAAGACCATCTTGGTTCAGAGTGGGGGCTGACTTCCTCCTTTGTCAGCACCTCCCCTCGGGACAGGTTGTTTCCCCTACCTTCAGATTGAGGACTGGGGCTGAGTCCTACCCTCCTCAGACAATGATCTCCTAGGGCAAGGTGAGATCTCTGTCCTCGATTGGGCTCCCCCAGCTCAGGGCCATGCCTCCTCCCTCAGACTGAAGTCCACCAGAGATGTTTCTGCCCTCTCAGATTGGGCTGGAGTGGGGCAGGGGGTTGTCTCCTCTTGATGTCGGACATGGCCGAGCCTCTGGCCTCAGTGACCCTCTGACCCTCCCAGGGCAAATGTCATACCACTGGGCAGTGCCCCTGGGGGCAGCTCACCCTGCCGGAAGCTGGAATCGATGGAGCGGCGCTCACCCAGGCGTCCACTGCCTGGAGCCCGGCTGCTTAGGTCCAAGAGCTGGTGTAGACGCAGCTTGCGGCAGTAGACAGAGGCGGCCTCTGGCTCCAGGGCGATGAGGAGTTGCTCTGCGTCCTCCCTGGACACCAGGCCAGCCTGGGGATAGGTGGTGGGCAGGGCCAGGGAGCTCCATGGGCCAAGTGTCACACCTCAGATGGCACCTCCGGGCAGGCAGCCAGGGCCTGGGGGGCTCCCCACCTCCTCCCCATCACACCCCAGCCATGGTAGGCCTCTCAGGCCCCTCCATGCTGCACAAATTTGGAGCTTCCTCAGAGCTACCCTGTGACCAGCCTGGGGAGGGGCACGGCCACAGCCAAGAATACCATGGGGTTGCCCGGCAGGAAGAGACTAGACAGTGAAAACCTAGAGCACCTGGGATCTGCCCCTCCAAGCTGCCCAGGGTGGCCCAGGCTCTGGCAAGGTCCCCTTCACAGGTGCAGGGCTGGCCAGCTGCGCACCGGCTGAGGGTGTTAGCCCAGACTCTAGCACAGTGTGTACGGGGTGTAATGGCCAGATCACCAGTTAGAGCAGATGGTGTGTGCGTGGGGAGGTCCCCTTTGGCTCACTGAACCCTCTTCCTTCACCAGGCTGGTGTCAGACAATAGCCACACTCCCCACTCTCAGGAGAACTTTGTTCCCCAAGAATCGGATATAGGCACCAAGAGACAAACAGTGAAATTGCAGACACCAGGCCAGGCCAGTTGCGGGGAGAAAAACCTGGGATCTGTTACTTCCTGTATCAGGACAGGGGATCCCTCCCCCTGTGGGAAGTACTTTATAGTTTTGTGGGATTCCCTGGATTCTGTGCAGGTGGGGGTTGGGGATGGGTGGGTATGGAGACTTCCCGCCCAGGGCCAGCCCTTCCTGAACTGGCAGCCTGGGACCAGTGTAGGAGGAAGCAGGTTAGATAAACCGGCAGGGGGCACTGCGGGGGGGGGGGGTTGTTTGTTCTGGCTGGGCACGGCCTTGCTTTCATCCTGGTCTCTGCAGGGGGGATGCCCACTACCTCAGGGTTAGCTCCTTCCGGTGACAAGCGTAGGCACCCACAGACCTGGCACCTGAGGCATGCCTGGCCCACAGGTGTGTGGGGGTTGGGGGCTCTGGTATCTTCCAGGGGGTGCACCGGCAGGCCTTTTGGAGGTCCTCGGGTGTCCCCCAAGGCCCCAGGGGGAGGACCAAGCCATGAGTCTTCTCTGGGAGGCTGTGCTCCCCATCCCCCCATCTCACTAGAGGTGGGGGGACTTGAGTTGTGCGCCCCCCCATTCTCCAGACCTTTGGGCATCTCTTACGGTAGGAAGCCCAGCAAGCATTGGTCCAAATCACCTCCCTTCATAATTTCATCGCCCTGTTTCTCCTGCTCAAAGACTGACAGTGGTTGGGGCTCGGTGGTGGCGGAGTCCCTGGAAAATACTGGTGCTGGCTGAAGCGGATGTTCTTGGTGCCCTGCCCAGCTACTGTGTGTTGGCTCCCAGCTGCCCCCTTCTCTGGAGAACTGCCCTCAGCTGAATGGAAACCACCTCACTTGGAGAAGTTTCCCCCACACCCCCAGGAACCAATGACAGGCTGATACGGATCCAGAAAAAGCCAAACGCCTTGCCTCACTGTGGTCAACTGCTGGGTACAGCTCTTCCTCCAGTCCTCTCCACGGGATCAGGCTGAGGCTAGACTCCAGCTGAGACCACGTTCCTGCTCAGCTCTTTCTCCTGCCCATTTCCCTCACTCTTTCTCCTGAGAGCCCTTCTTCAATACGCTGCATGCACAAGAATCCCTCTCTTGCGCTCTGCTTCTAGGAAACCTGACTTAAGACACCGGCTAGGCTGGCCTGGGCTGTGCCTCTCATCCCCTCTGCTCTCTGTTCCAGCAGGCTCGCACCCTCTCCTGGTGGCAACAACCCTCCAAAATGCCCAGCAGGGGAAGGCCGCAGGTCTTTACGCAATGACTGGTCCCAAGGGTGGTGGGTAAAGGAGGGTCTTGGGGGCCTCCGTGGAGCCCTCCTGAGTGACGCCCCCTGCTCTGTCTGCCCGTCCTCACCAAGTAGGCAGCCTCCCGCATGAACTGCTTGGCAGGCTGTTTCCAGATGGCGGGCACCGTCAACACCCAGCGCACAGTGTCCTTCTCTAGCAGCGATGGGCACTGCTCCCTCAGCTCCTGCAGCAGGAGGGGGCAGCAAGGGGTAGGCTGGTTGGGTTGGGGGGGGGGTATCTTCAGCCTTCTACTTAGGGGAGCTGGAGTTGCTAATCGAGCCTCAGGAAGGACTTCCCAGCTGAGTGGGAGGAATTCCTAACGCCCGCCCCCCCCCCCCCCAACACCTGTATGTCCCATGCAGGCTCCATCCAATGGGAAGGCAGGGGCTGGAGAAGATGGTTTCTGACCCCTGCTGGATAGGCTGAGAGGAGACGATGGACCTGGGGGTCCCTGCCCCGGGCCGCAGCGCACCTGAAGGGCATGCTCCTTGAAGAAGCGCAGGGCATGGGCGAACACCTCCAGGGCAGGCATTTTCTTTCCATTTACAGCCTCTAGCTGGGTCTTCAGGGTGAGATCCTGGCAGGGTCATAGGCAATTCTGCAGAAGGCCATAGCTCTGCCCCCACTTCCTGACGACCCCTCTCTGAAAATCACCCCATTTCCTGCTGCTTCGCCTCTGGAGTGTCCTCGCTAATCCCACATTAGTGCTGTCCCCAGCCCCTCTCGTTAGCCCCGCCTCTCCTCTAATCCTGGCCTCACCCCCCTAGCCCCGCCCCCTCAGCCTCTCCTCACCTTTTACCTTTGCTCCCCCTCCGTGAGCCCCTCCCTTTCCACTCCTGGCCCCGCCCCCCTGGCTGGAGCGGCCCGGAGCCAGAATGTGCCTTACAGTGGTGCTGTGGATCTTCATCTTGAACTTCTCGAAGTAGAGCCAGTCCCGCGCCTCCTCAGGGTCCAGATCGTGGTAGTAATCGCGGGCGGTGTAGCCAAAACTGTGAAAGGCGCCCTCCGGGGTCAAAAGCAGGCAGGTGGGGGTCTTCTGGTGGGCCACTCCTGGGTCCCCGCCCTCCCATTTCCTGTGGAGGCACAGGGCTGTCAGTGTGGTCGGCGAAACCCTCCCTTCGTGGGGTTGGGTATCGGGCTCTGGGATCAGCTGTGTGATCTTGGGCAGGCCACCTAGCTTTCCTACATGTAATATGGAAATAATAATAGTACCTACCTCTTAGGGGTCTTGTGAAGATCGTGCTTGGCATCCCCTTAAATCTCCATAAATGCTGCTCATGGGATCCTGCCTATCCATGGGGCCACTGGACCCATCAACATCCTCAGCTCCTGCTTCCTCCCATGAGGTATACCGTTGGACTTCGCCTCCCTGTACTCTTATGCAGCAGCAAGCCATCATCCACCTGCCTGGGTCTGGCCTCCTGATGTATCCCTAGAGGACCCTCGCAGAGGCTTTCTCCCAGCCAGACGGTTTGCCCTCCTCTAGGCTATCTTCCACCGCCAAGCTCCTTCAAGGCATCGATCATTCCTATCTGACCCACCTTGGCAGCTACACCCAGTTGACTGCACCTCCAGCAGGACCCCAAAACCTGAACGAGATTCCAAACCTCCCCATCTGCAGGTGCCATCTGGAATTCCACCCAGAACTCCCTGTCTAGTTCATTGGCCCGGCAACTTCTTTCTCCCCTTCCTCTGCCTTCTCTGATGCCCTGACCCCTCTAGGCCAAGCTCATCCCTGCAGCCTTTAGGGGAAGGAACTGGGAATCCAGGCAGAAGGAACAGCATGTGCAGAAGTTTAGAGGTGTGGAAGAGCCAGGAGAACCAGCTATAGGCTGGCTCAGTGTGCAGCTGGAGAAAATACAGGAATGTTAAAGTCAGCTAAGGAAGAGCATCAAGTGCCATATCTGAATTCTGTCTTGATGGGTTTTAAGTAGGAGAATGAGGAATCATAACCACATCTGCCATTAGAAAGGTCACTGGTTGACCTTTGTGGTGGCAGCAGGGGTTACCGGCATTCAGTTGCTGGTACGCAGCTTTCTGTTCACGCCCAGGAGCTACACACCCTTGAGGTGACTGGCCAGGGCACGATAGCCCAGATCAAGGCTCACACAGACTTGTTGGAGGGCATCACTCCAAGGAGATCAAGTCCTGCTCCTGGCAGGCACACCCCTAGACGATGAAGCTACCAGGGCCAGTGTGGGGTGGAGGCTCCGACCACTCTGGAAGTAACCATCCACATGCTTGGAGGTAAAGTCCATGGTTCCCTGGGCCGTGCTGGGAGAGTAAGAGGGCAGACCCAAAGTGGCCACACAGGAGAAAAAGAAGATAGGCCAGGCCAAGCAGTGGATGCAGAACTGGTGTTTGTTAATGCTGTGCCCGCCTTTGGCAAGAAGAAGGGCCCCCGTGCCAACTCTTAAGTCTTTTGTAATCCTGGCTTTTACTAATAAAGCCACTTAGCCCAGTCAAAAAAAAAAAAAGAAGAAGAAGAAGAAAGAAAAGAAAAGAAAAGAAAAGAAAAAGAAGAAAGAGAAAGAAAGTTCACTGGTCCCCATGTGGCAACAGCCTGGAGGGGAGGAAAAATGGAGAAGGAAAACCAGAGAGGAGGATATTGCTACCATCCAGGTGAGAGAGGGTGGGGCTGAACTTAGGGGTGGTGGCCATGGAGAGAAGTGACTGGGTGTTCCAGAGATATTAGGGAGATAGAAATGGCAGGTCTTGGTGGCTAGTAGGGGTGGGGAGGGTTTGGGAGGAAGCCAAGATACCCTCCAGTTACTTCCTGTGACTGTCCCCTCCACAGGACAGCGTCCTTTCTTGGTCCTCAGGCCCAGCATGGAGTCCAGCATGGTTTTCGTCACGTGTGCTGACGAGCATGCCAGCTGGGATGCCCTGGAGCTCCTAGAGGGCTGTAAGTGCCCAGAGCCTTTGTGGCCTTATGTGGATGTGGACGGAGCAGGGAAGGGGGAAGGACAGTTCATGCTTATGCAGCTGAAGTCCCTTGTATCTTTGGGGAAGTGACCCTTATGTTTGTCTCTCCATCCACCCTACCATCTACCCTCCCAGGCCTTGGGAAGCCCCTCGGCTCCCCGATCCCGGTCGGGGTTGGAGCTTTGGGGTCTTCTAGAAGGGTCTTCCACCTACTGGCTGCAGCTTCACTAAGAATCCTGCTCCTTCAAAGGATCAGGGTCTTGAGACCTGGAGGGCAGTGTCAAAAAATGTACTGTTCAAATAAAGCTCGACTACATCAGAATGGGTTTTTTGCCCATCTCTTTCCTAACAACTGTGTGACCTGTTAACTCAGCGAACCCTCTGATCCTTCCCGTCTTTGTCCTTCACTGAGGTGTTCAGCCTAGGAATCTGCCTGTCTACCACACACAAATCCCAGCACAGGTTTTCAAGGAAGGCTATTCATTGCAGCACTTTTTGTAATAGTGAACAATTAGAGGGGAAGAAGCCTCCCAAAACCATCAATAGAAAAATAGACGAATCATGACACATCTGTACGTAGGACACTATGCAACTATTAAGAGAAACTGGCTTCAGTAGGAGCTGATAGGAAGAACAGGCCTGTTAGCTAAGATGCGCGCCCTGAGCCCAAGGGAGCCGGGCGGCTGCCTTGCTTTTGTTGTTTGCCTGGTTCCTTTATCTTTTTCCTTTTTAAAGAAAAAATAAAGCAGGTGGATTTGAAAGAAAAAAGAAAGAGAAATTGTGGCTTTATGTGTTGACACGAAACATCTACAAAATAATGTTGAAAGTTTAAAGTAAGGCAAGTTGTAGGATATCTCACTTTTATTTAAAAAACACATATATGTGCAAATATGCGTGTGTGTTGGGGACGGAGGGAGCTCGGGGCAGACTCCATGTGTCCTCAGTGACAGTCCTTCTGAGACCAGGCCCATCCCAGGGAGTGAGGACCCCCGCCCCCGTCTCCCAGCCCAGCCACCCTCACCTCATCATGTGGATGGCTTCAGGATCACTGGCAAAGCTGAAGGCGTAGCCACTGGAGGTGGTCCCAAAGTCGATGGCCACCACCACGGAGAAGGGAGCACGCTGGGGGGCCCGGACCTCGGGCTTCTGTGAGGGTGAGACCCAGAGTTAGGCAGCAGCCAAGGGCTGCATGCCCGAGCCCCTCCTCTCCTCTGGCTGTGGTCCAGACTGGCCCTGCCCCAGTCACCTGCCCGGGCTCCCCTCCCCTTCCCAGGCTCCAGGCTGAGCCCCAGAGCGACCAACTGCTCAGAATCCCAAGGCCTCTCAGGTCACCCTCTGCAGCTTTTGGCTTAAGCTCCTGCTTTCCTCTTTGGGTTCTCTGCCTGCCTTCTGCCTGGCCAGCCTGAGCCCCACCCCCCTCACAGCTCCTCGGGGCAGCTTCAGTAACACACAGACCTGTGTATATTTGACCCCCCAGATCTCTGTGGCCACAGTGAGACAACCAGACTCCGTTGGTTTTATGGCAGAGGAGAAAGGCCTGTGCACGGGCCCACCGTGGTTCCTTCCTTCTCCCAGGCCAGGCCTGGGCTCCCTGAGAACAAGGGGATCCCCAGGCTGGATCACTAGGGTGAGGCCATCCTGGGTGGGGTGACCCAGGGAGTTTGAGGGAGGTTTATATCCTGGATACTTCAAGCTAGTAGTTTCCAAACTAACTTTTAGCAATGTGTCTTGTCTTCCCCAGATATAACTTGTATTCAGGGAGAGCTGTGGTCCACAGGAGGGGGAGCAACTCTGGGAGGCCCACTGCTCTGAGGACCTGAAGTAACTACATGCTCAGAAGTCTCCCTGCCCTAGGCAGGCTCTGGTCCATGGATGGCATCCTGGAGCGGGGCTGTTCGGGTGTTAAGTTACGTTAGTCACCTGAGTAGAACTGTTACCCCTACAGTCCAAGGTCACCTGAGGCTAAGTCTTCTGGGGGAGACATAACTGGAATGTGCAGGGGCAAGAGGCATGGCGCCACCCCCAGCCCACCCCGGGCCCTGCCAGGGCTCTGCCAGACACATCATAATCCAAGTTCTCTGGAGCACGACCCCTCTCCATAGCACCCAGCCTCCCACCACCAGGATCCCTGCTCCCAGGCTTACTGGAGACTGCGAGGGTGTGAGTGGGGCGATGCCACAGCTTTCCTGGGTTCGTGGGGAGCCAGGCGGGCTGGGCACGGGGGACCGCTCGGGGCTGGAGCCTGCAAAGAGAGGGCAAGTCACTCTGGCACAATCAGGGTAGGGGCTGGTGGCTGGGCACTGGGAGGTTCTCCATCAGTCCTTGCTGTGCTGAGGCAAGGGGCACCCTGCTGGGGGAGGAGGACTAGTGGGGGAGGGGAGGAAGGACAAGACGGGGGCAGGGGCAGACTGAGGGCCTGTTATCAATTTGAGGTGACCTCCCCCTGAAGGGTGACCCATGCCTCACCTGGTGACTCCTCGTCTCCCCAGCATCCCTCAGACGCAGCAGGGGAGGGGAGAGACAGAGAAGCATTATGGGGGGTGGGGGAGACTGAGTGCAGAGAGAGAAGGGCAGGAGAGATGGGGTGGGTGGGCTCCTGGGGTGGAGGTGAGGGTGGAGGGTAGAGAAACCAGAAAAGGTGGGGAACTACAGACGGAACTGAGCAGGAGGTAGGGCTGCTCCCCTCCCTGGTAGACTTTGGCCACATGGTTCTAATCAGGACCCAAAGGAGCCACCCTCCCTTCCTCCCTCCCTCCACTAAGGGCCAAGGACAGGCCCAGCTGGTGGGGATCGAGAAGGGGAATAGCACTTCTCCCAGCCCAGCCCTCAGCTGGGGGGTGTCCACAACACTAGGAAGTTGGATTCTGAGCCGCCCTTCCCCATGACACACAGAAGCCTGGAGCCAGCATTTGGGGGCAGGAGGCCCCACTGAAACCCTCTCACAGGCCCAGGACTGAGCTGGACCTTTGCTGGGAGGAAGCAGAGCAGCTCCAGAAGGCAGCCCAAAGCCTGGCTTGGAGGATCACGCAGCTTAAGGGCCTGCCTGGCTGGTCATCCCTAGGCATGGGCTGGTGGCTCATCACCACCACACTGGGCTCTGCTAAGGCCCCTGCCGGGGGTACTGGGGCTGCCCTGAGATTCAGGTGTGGGGACAGGGAGGTGGCCCAGGAGGCTGATGGGGTCTGGTGTGAAGACCTGCGGACACGTCGAACTGGTCTGGCTGGCTTTAGGCTGAGCCAGGGCCCGGGGCCTGTGTTCCTTCAGCAGCTGTCCTGCCCCGAGCCCTGACAGGTCCCAGTTTCCCGGACCTTGGGGTACGCGGGAACATATGTGAGGCATGAGGGGGACTCAAGGAAGTGCCTGGACCGGGCCAGAGTCTGTCTGGAGGTGTTGGAGGGGCAGGGTAGGGGGGTGGCTCTCCCAGGGCTCCTTCTTTCTAGGCAGCCGGCACAGGCTTGGGCCCTGCCACCAGCTCCAGCCCGAGGGGCCGAGTTGCTGTGGCTGGAGCCTGGGAAGGGAGGCAGGAAGGAAGGCCCAGCCCACCAGGTCTTTGTTAATGGACTTCCTGAGGAGTGTCCCTCCTGCCTCCCGGCCTGCCACCCCTGCAGAGAACGCGGAGCCAGCTCCCAGACCCGGCCACAGGCAGATGCGGGTGTATACATGCAGGGTTCTGTGCGTGCAGAGCCAGCTGCCAATACACACTCCCACACAAGGCCCTGCACACAGAGACCTGCCCACAGGCAGGCAGACACACGCGTGCGCACACATACACACACACACACACGCACGCACGCTCATACCAGGTCCCATGTACACAGACCTGCTCAAGACATGCACACGCACACAGTCCTGGGCACACAGACCCACTGGGCACACACACACTCACAGACACAGTCCTGTGTGCACCAACCCCCCCCTGCACAGACACACTCGCTCAGCACCCTCTTCTGGGAGACGCAGCCGTGTGCAGACTGGGGGTGGGTCGCGGTGCCCGGGTGAGTGGGGTGGTGGGTCAGGGCCAAGGCTGCGGGGGGGGGGGGGGCGGGCAGGGGAGAGTCTTACCGAGGTACAGCCCCTGCAGGCCCATGTCCGGGACAGCCAGCATCTTTGCAGGCCCTGTGACTGTGAGCAGGAACAGACAAAACAGAACGGCATTTATTTGTTCCTTTGTTTCCTCTCTGAATGCTTATTTAGTTTATTTGTTTACTTTCGGCTGGAGCCCTTTGAAGCGAATGCCAGGCATCATGTTGTTTCACCTATAAATTCTTCAGTACATCCCGCTAACAGAGAAAGACTTTAAAAACATCGTCACAACACCGACCTGATGTGTAACAATATTAACAGTAATTCCTCAGGCTCATCTAACGTTCAGTCCCACAGTCCCCGCTTGTCTCAAAAACTTAACAGTGGCTTTGTTGCAACCAGGATGCTCCTAAATGTTTTCAAGCGCCCAGTCCGTGCCAGGTGCTTGCGGACATCAGCGACCCAGAGAGACACTGCTCCTGCCCCCGGAGGCCCACAGCCTGGTGGGAAAACTGATCATAGTCAGATAATCACCCAAGTGATTTTGAGATTACAAACGATGCTGTCAAGGTCACAGCTGGATACCAACCAGGCAGAAAGGCTTGGTACGGCTGGAGAGGCTGGGCCGGGCCGGGCCGGGCCGGGCTGATCCTGTAGGCAGGCCCCTGGGGACCCTATTTTATTTATTTATTTATTTATTTATTTATTTATTTATTTATTTATTTATTTTATTTTATTTAATTTTTGAAGATTTTACTCATTTGAGAGAGACAGCGAGAGCATGAGCAGCGGGGAGAGGCAGGGGGCAGGGAGAAGCAGACTCCCCCCGCTATGCAGGGAGCCCGATTTGCTGAGCTTGACCCCAGGACCCTGAGATCATGACCTGAGCCAAAGGCAGACGACTGAGCCATCCAGGAGCCCCTTGGGGCCTCTATTTCAGATCCGGTTTTATATGAAGGGCAACAGCAGATCTGGAAAGGTCTGAAGTACCAGAGCAGAGGTGGGGGCATGACTAACCTTGCATTTTAAAAAGCCCCCCTGGCTGTATGGAGGGTGCAGATTACAACAGGCGGCAGGGAAGCAGAAGCCCTATCAGGGCTCCAGGCGACAGAGGATGGTGGTGGCTGTGTGTCTTGAGACAGAAGTGGAGTTCTGAAGTTAGAGGTTAAAACCAACCGGGCTGACAGAAGATGGCCGGATTGGATATGGGGGCTTAGGAAGAAAAAGATGTCAAGGGTGACATTGTCCAATTTGAGCTATGAGGTGGACAGTGAGGTGGACACTGGCGAAGGTGGGGCTGGCAGGGGCAAGGGGCAGAGTTCTGGGTGCAGTTTTGCAACTGCCAAGAGAACAGACCGAGGAGCCAGATGATGTATGATGCAGAGGTCAGAGGGAAAGCGGAGGTGGAGAGGCGCATTTGGGAGTCACGGTCACGGGAGGCCTGGCGGGGAGTCGTGGGGGAAAAGAAGGGAGCACCAGCACAGAAAGCTGGCTGGAGGAAGGCTGGCTGCCCGAGGAGACTGGAAACCTGCTATGGTTCCGGGAAGATCTCAGATCTAAGAGATGCGCCTGAAGCTAGATGCCTTTAGAGGTTATTCGATGAGCCTCGAAACACCTGTTTTAATGGCCCAGGGCCAGCATTTCGGCAGAATGATGGAGATGGGGTAGAAGTCAAGGGAGCCTAGGCAAGGAGGGAGCACAGGGGAGGAGATCGCAGCGGGCACTTCCAAGAAGCTTGGCTGACCTCCGGGGCTGGTGTGAAGGTAGTAGCTGGAGGAACAGCCAGCCTGAGGAGGGGAGGATGGGTTTTCATTTTCTTCTCTACGATGGGAGGAACCTGAGTCTGTGTCTGTGAAGTTCTAGGGGCCAGGCTAGAGGTAGCAGCACTGCAGCCCCCGAGAGCTGTCAGAAATGCAGAACCTCAGGCCCGGACCAAGAACCACTGCGTCAGAACTTGCATGTTAACAAGATCCTAGGGGGTTCTGGGCACAGTCGAGTCTGAGAGGTGCCACTCGACATGTCCCTGGGCCAGTCATCACCCACGCTATTGGCCTCAGCTGCGGGCCTGGCAGCCCCCCCCAAACAAAGGTGAGGCTGCTCAGAGCCCACTCCGCCTCTGTAGCCAGTGGCCGAACAGGAGGTTTTGCTAACAGAACACAGGCAGACACAGGTCTGGGCACCATCACGTGCAATCACACGCATGCACACATCCTTGCTCACACACAGCTGACACAGCCCAGCCCAGGGAGACGGACACTCAGACATGTCCAGAATACTCCCCCATGGCCAGCACCATAGAGATTTCCAGACACATGCAATCCTGCTATCAGCAGAAGCGCTCTGCTGGATGCCCAGGAATGAGAATCACGGGAAAGTTAGGGGCTGCTTGTGGGTACTCAGAGCAGCAGGGTGGTGCTAAGAAAAGGGAAAGCAAATATCGGGCATGCGTATGAGCCTGAGAGCCAGGACAGGGGCTCAGCTCGGGTGTTCGGGAGGTGGTTCTCCCCAGCCCCAAGAGCTGAGTCTGCATCTCTTCCCAACTCTGCATTCATTGACAGGACACGGGCAACTTGAAATCAGCCATAATGGAAGCATTTACACCACAGAAATTGGCAAACACTATAAATTGGGTTTTTCTCCCTCTGACAGAGTTGATGGTAAAACATTTACCAGCACACAACTGGATCAAGTCCACAAGGGAGAAGCTGACAACCCTGTGTGTACATTGTTTCGATTCTTCAGCCAACACTGAGCATTTCTTTGTGGCAGGCTCTGTGCTAAGTGGTTGAATGGATGAATGGATTTTCTGGACCAACGCTATTGTATTTGGAGGAGAATCAATCTAGAACCACCAGGAAAAAAAAGACTCCGGAGTCACCACTCTAAGCTGGATTCCATGTCCAAACTGTGCGCCTACAATCCTCCCAGCTATCTGGAGCTGCTCCAGTTATCTCCCATCTCTGAGTATGTGGGCACAGAGTGCTCCTACTCGGGGGTCTCAGGGCGGGCCAAGGGCCTATTATGGCATCTGGCCAGAGTGCATCATGTCACCTCTCTCTGCTTCAGTGTCTCTCCCGTAAAATGGGTCACACAGGGGGCTTGTTAAGACTGACAAGTTCAGGGGCACCTGGGTGGCTGGGTCGGTTAAGCGTCTGCCTTCAGCACAGGTCATGATCCCAGTGTCCTGGGATCGAGCCCTGCATTGGGCTCCCTGCTCAGCAAGAGCCTGCTTCTCTCTCTCCCTCTGCTGCTCCCCCTGCTTGTGTGCACGCACTCTCTTTCTCTCTCTGTCAAATAAATAAAATCTTAAAAAAAAAAAAAAAAAGACTGACAAGTGCAGGTAAAGAAGGTGGTTGATAAAGGCAGGACTTGGACAGATGTGAGCAGTTGTTCTTTTCCTTCATGGTGTGGATTCAGAATTTTCTCTTGTTCTAAGTTTTTGGTCGTTTTTTTTTAAGATATTATTTTTAAGATATTATTTATTGAGAGAGAGCATGAGCCAGGCTTGGGGGGGGTGGGGGGAGGAGGCTCACCAAGCCGGGAACCTGACACAGGGCTCAATCCCAGGACCCTGGGAATCATGACTCGAGCCAAAGGCAGACACTTAACCAACTGAGCCACCCAGGCGCCCCAGAAGTTTTTGGTCTTATTGAAGCTTTTATTCTAATCATTCTGAGTTCTTTAGGGAGGGAGGGAGGGAGGACTTGAATCAATCTGTGTTAAAGAAGAAGGATCCTGATGATTCCTTGAGAGGTGGAGGTAGAAGGGGGTGGCAGCCTTATAAGTCTTTGGGACATCCCCCACCCTGCACTCACACCCAGAAACATTTAAGGAGAATGCTAACTATCAGGCTCAGGACAACACTGGTTCCCGAAAGCTATGACTGGGCAGTATCCACAGCTGGAAATGGGGCAAAGTAGACCCCCACCCCAGCGGCTCGCTGATTTCAGACTGGTGATGCTTAGGGGTTTGAGCATAACTGGGTGGGGCAGTTTGATTTACACAGAAAGTAACTTCATTTCCTGGCAACAAGCACAGGCTAAACTCTGGCCCTAGCCTGATCCCTACCCTACTCACAGACAGACCCTTAACCCTCCCACGGACTGACTCCTAGCCCTTGGCTTCATATTGATCTCCCATCTTCAGCTTCACATTGACCCCTGGCCCTGACTTCTACCCAATAGGTATGACCTATCAGTCACCGGGGGGCCAGGACAGGGTGTGGCTGAGTCCAAGGACTCCAAACCGCAGACTCCCATTCCAGAGTGCTTCCCAGACTCACAAAAGCCAAGGACTTCTGGCCTGATGGAGAACATTTTCCAAGAATCTCTGCCTGGGGAGGGGAAGTGAAGGCTGGGTACTTATGCCCCCAAAGAGCACCGAGGTAACGTGGTGTTGCTGGATTTCAGGGCTCCAAACATACCTGTCCTCTGCCCATGAGGACAAAGAGCCCACCCAGATCTTTACAGTACCCCTCCCTCCCTTGCACGCTTCCTCTCACTGGACCCTGCCTCTCCCACCCACTGTTCTCTGCTCAATATCCTGCCAGCTTGTCAACGGAATAGGACCTGTCAGCAGGCCAAGAGGCCACAGGCATTTCTCCCAAGCCACAGATTGGACCAACCAGGGCCAAGGACAGATGAGAAATGGCACCCAAAGGGCTGCCCCAGTCTGTCTCTGGAGAGGAACCCTCAAGGAGAGGGACCAGAAGGAGGCTGTGGGGTAGGGGGGCGGCCTCTCCTGCGCTGGGGCACGGGGAGGCATAAATGGCCTCCCATGGCCCTTCCCTGTCCTCAACTTTTCTTTCCATACATCCTGCCCCACCCCCGCTGGGTCCTCATCATTGCAGCAAAGCCAGGTCACAAACAACGTCTGTCCCACTGAGCCCAGGGCCCGAGGCCCCTCCCATCCTCTGCCCACCAGTCCCCCATCACCTCCCTCACCTTCTGGGGCGCTTGCTCTCACGGAGAAGCCATATTTTAGGGCTC